TCTCATGTCTTCTAAACAAATTGAAATAATTCTGAAAGTTTACACGGACTATCATTTCACCGTTAATGATTAATTTATCTTAGCACCCGCCTGACCCCACAGGACCCAAACACACCCATCTGTCTCATCGCTAAAGCAGGAACCACAATTCCTGAACGCCACTTAATGCAGTGCTTGAATATAATATTGTAGTAGACATTATAAATTGAAACAAGGGTTCTTGGTGTTTGTTATGACTTAAGGCCAGTCTGTGGGCTGCCAAGTAAGTCAGTCAGACGCTGTCATAGAAGGCCGTTATACTACTGTCATAGAAGGCAGCTAGAGTACTGTCATAGAAGGCCATTAGAGTACTGTCATAGAAGGCCATTAGACTGCTGTCATAGAAGGCAGCTAGAGTACTGTCATAGAAGGCCATTAGAGTACTGTCATAGAAGGCAGCTAGAGTACTGTCATAGAAGGCCATTAGAGTACTGTCATAGAAGGCAGCTAGAGTACTGTCATAGAAGGCCATTAGAGTACTGTCATAGAAGGCCATTAGAGTACTGTCATAGAAGGCCATTAGACTGCTGTCATAGAAGGCAGCTAGAGTACTGTCATAGAAGGCCATTAGAGTACTGTCATAGAAGGCCATTAGAGTACTGTCATAGAAGGCAGCTAGAGTACTGTCATAGAAGGCAGCTAGAGTACTGTCATAGAAGGCCATTAGAGTACTGTCATAGAAGGCCATTAGAGTACTGTCATAGAAGGCCATTAGAGTACTGTCATAGAAGGCCATTAGAGTACTGTCATAGAAGGCCATTAGAGTACTGTCATAGAAGGCCATTAGAGTACTGTCATAGAAGGCCTTTAGACTACTGTTATAGAAGGCTGCTAGACTACTGTCACAGAAGGCTGCTAGATTACTGTCATGGAAGGTCATTAGACTGCTGTCATGGAAGGCCATTAGACTGCTGTCATGGAAGGCCATTAGACTGCTGTCATGGAAGGCAGCTAGATTACTGTCATGGAAGGCAGCTAGATTACTGTCATAGAAGGCCATTAGAGTACTGTCATAGAAGGCAGCTAGAGTACTGTCATAGAAGGCCATTAGAGTACTGTCATAGAAGGCCATTAGAGTACTGTCATAGAAGGCCATTAGAGTACTGTCATAGAAGGCTGTTAGACTACTGTCATAGAAGGTCATTAGACTACTGTCATAGAAGGCCATTAGACTACTGTCATAGAAGGCCATTAGACTACTGTCATAGAAGACAGCTAGACTACTGTCATAGAAGACTGCTAGACTACTGTCATAGAAGGCTGCTAGACTACTGTCATAGAAGGCTGCTAGACTACTGTCATAGAAGGCTGCTAGACTACTGTCATAGAAGGTCATTAGACTACTGCCATTAAAGGTTACTAGACTGTTATTGAAGGCTGTTAGACTACTGTCATAGAAGACAGCTAGACTACTGTCATAGAAGACAGCTAGACTACTGTCATAGAAGGCTGCTAGACTACTGTCACAGAAGGCTGCTAGACTACTGTCATAGAAGGTCATTAGACTACTGCCATTAAAGGTTACTAGACTGTTATTGAAGGCTGTTAGACTACTGTCATAGAAGACAGCTAGACTACTGTCATAGAAGACAGCTAGACTACTGTCATAGAAGGCTGCTAGACTACTGTCATAGAAGGTCATTAGACTACTGCCATTAAAGGTTACTAGACTGTTATTGAAGGCTGTTAGACTACTGTCATAGAAGACAGCTAGACTACTGGCATAGAAGACAGATAGACTACTGGTATAGAAGACAGCTAGACTACTGGCATAGAAGACAGCTAGACTACTGGCATAGAAGGCAGCTAGACTACTGGCATAGAAGGCCGCTAGACTACTGGCATAGAAGGCCCCTAGACTACTGGCATAGAAGGCCCCTAGACTACTGACTTAGATGGCTGCTAGACTAGTGACTTAGATGGCTGCTAGACTAGTGACTTAGATGGCTGCTAGACTAGTGACTTAGATGGCTGCTAGACTAGTGACTTAGATGGCTGCTAGACTAGTGACTTAGATGGCTGCTAGACTAGTGACTTAGATGGCCGCTAGACAAGTGACATTGAAGGCCGCTAGACTAGTGACATAGAAGGCCGCTAGACTAGTGACATAGAAGGCCGCTAGACTAGTGACATTGAAGGCCGCTAGACTAGTGACATTGAAGGCCGCTAGACTAGTGACTTAGATGGCCGCTAGACTAGTGACTTAGATGGCCGCTAGACTAGTGACTTAGATGGCCGCTAGACTAGTGACATTGAAGGCCGCTAGACTAGTGACATTGAAGGCCGCTAGACTAGTGACATTGAAGGCCGCTAGACTCGTGACTTAGATGGCCGCTAGACTCGTGACTTAGATGGCCGCTAGACTCGTGACTTAGATGGCCGCTAGACTCGTGACTTAGATGGCCGCTAGACTCGTGACTTTGATGGCCGCTAGACTCGTGACTTTGATGGCCGCTAGACTAGTGACTTTGATGGCCGCTAGACTAGTGACTTTGATGGCCGCTAGACTAGTGACTTTGATGGCCGCTAGACTAGTGACTTTGATGGCCGCTAGACTAGTGACTTTGATGGCCGCTAGACTAGTGACTTTGATGGCCGCTAGACTAGTGACTTTGATGGCCTTTGACTAGTGACTTTGATGGCCGCTAGACTAGTGACTTTGATGGCCGCGCTAGACTAGTGACTTTGATGGCCGCTAGACTAGTGACTTTGATGGCCGCTAGACTAGTGACTTTGATGGCCGCCGCTAGACTAGTGACTTTGATGGCCGCCGCTAGACTAGTGACTTTGATGGCCGCCGCTAGACTAGTGACTTTGATGGCCGCCGCTAGACTAGTGACTTTGATGGCCGCCGCTAGACTAGTGACTTTGATGGCCGCTAGACTAGTGACTTTGATGGCCGCTAGACTAGTGGTATAGAAGATCACTAAGACTACTGACAAAAAAGACCGCTAGCTGTAGCTTTGCTACACTGCTGATGTAGAAGGTTTGCTAGACTACTGTTGTGGAAGGTTTGCTAGACTACTGTTGTGGAAGGTTTGCTAGACTACTGTTGTGGAAGGTTTGCTAGACTACTGTTGTGGAAGGTTTGCTAGACTACTGTTGTGGAAGGTTTGCTAGACTACTGTTGTGGAAGGTTTGCTAGACTACTGTTGTGGAAGGTTTGCTAGACTACTGTTGTGGAAGGTTTGCTAGACTACTGTTGTGGAAGGTTTGCTAGACTACTGTTGTGGAAGGTTTGCTAGACTACTGTTGTGGAAGGTTTGCTAGACTACTGTTGTGGAAGGTTTGCTAGACTACTGTTGTGGAAGGTTTGCTAGACTACTGTTGTGGAAGGTTTGCTAGACTACTGTTGTGGAAGGTTTGCTAGACTACTGTTGTGGAAGGTTTGCTAGACTACTGTTGTGGAAGGTTTGCTAGACTACTGTTGTGGAAGGTTTGCTAGACTACTGTTGTGGAAGGTTTGCTAGACTACTGTTGTGGAAGGTTTGCTAGACTACTGTTGTGGAAGGTTTGCTAGACTACTGTTGTGGAGGTTTGCTAGACTACTGTTGTGGAAGGTTTGCTAGACTACTGTTGTGGAAGGTTTGCTAGACTACTGTTGTGGAAGGTTTGCTAGACTACTGTTGTGGAAGGTTTGCTAGACTACTGTTGTGGAAGGTTTGCTAGACTACTGTTGTGGAAGGTTTGCTAGACTACTGTTGTGGAAGGTTTGCTAGACTACTGTTGTGGAAGGTTTGCTAGACTACTGTTGTGGAAGGTTTGCTAGACTACTGTTGTGGAAGGTTTGCTAGACTACTGTTGTGGAAGGTTTGCTAGACTACTGTTGTGGAAGGTTTGCTAGACTACTGTTGTGGAAGGTTTTCTAGACTACTGTTGTGGAAGGTTTTCTAGACTACTAGTGTAGAATGTTGCTAGACTACTAGTGTAGATTGTTGCTAGACTACTAGTGTAGATTGTTGCTAGACTACTAGTGTAGATTGTTGCTAGACTACTAGTGTAGAATGTTGCTAGACTGCTAATGTAGGTCATTAGACAACTGTTGAAATCATCACTACCAATCCTTTTAGACATAGTATGGGTTCTACCTTCACCTATAGTAACTAGGAACACTTTGAAATAAATAAATTTTACATTAATTTATGAGGTTGTCTACCTCAGCCAAACCCAACGCTCTATTGTCTCACTGAATTCATGAACACCACCACACTTTCCCAAGGTTTAAGAGTCAACTTTTAGATAAAATGTGGATTTTCCAGTTTGGCATTTTCCTCTTTTTAGGTTTTAGTATACTTAGCACAAGAATTTTATTTTACATTTTAATTTGGGGTCATACAGGGCTACAAAATAAAGGTTTATAAATGAACACAACATAGAAACCTGTGGTCTCTGACCAAAGCAAGTCCAGATGTAAAGTCACAAATAGTGGCTACCAGTAAACCTTGAAAATATCACCCCATCTTTCCTCACAATTTTGCTGTCCCCACCATCTGAGGCTCAAGAACCTCCTGATTAAATAATAGTTAATTTAAAGAATAAGGATTGGATGTAAAAACGTAGCTGATACACACATAAGAGTGCAACCCAGATACAAGAAATAGGTTTATTTATGATAGAAACCAGCTCACACCTGCATACAAAATGACATATTATTTATTATTGGATAGTTATCTTTTTTTGTCACAAGACAAAAGGAAATTAACATTTTCATAAAACACAACTTTTGTGTATGTGTTAAAAGAGTTAGAAGGCAGCAGATAGACAAGAAGCTGAAAGAATGGGCTGGCATTTTACCTTATGAATAATGTAACTAATAGATCACTATACAGAGACATAATGAATGATGTGTGTTAAATGGCCTACCAGTTTGCAGCATATGTTGTAATAGTAGTTTAACACTTGTTTTGCAGGGTTCTTTTGTGCTGTCTGTCTGATTTATGTGTATTGTCCATGACTTGCAGGAGGTTCTCCATGTGGCAAACATTGACATGCAACTGGCAGCAGCCACCGCTTTCTTGCAGATACTGGAGAAAAAGCTGGTGACCGTGGAAGAGTACAAGAAAACTTTCTTACAGACAATACTCACTTCTGTGGACAATAAAAATGAAGGTGAGCATGTTGCTTTTCTGCGTCAAGCATTGATCTCATCTCTATGTCCTGCTGCACCGCTTCATGTGGGTAAACACAAATAAGCACCTAAAGAGGGGCCAGTCCTAGGTTGTTAAAGCAGAGGATACCATAAGTCATATTTGTCCATTGGAACATGTCAGGCTTGGTGCCAAATTAAGAGAAACACCAAAACAGTTGCAGAAGCACATTGAGGTAATAATCACCCTGGGCAGGTATTGCAGAGAATGGAGCCAAGCAGCCAGCTGATGCTGAAATTCCCTCATCCACAAGCGCACTCACCCAGGTGACGTCATAAACTATACAGATGGCCCTGTGATTCCTGGGTTGCAGTCTGGGTGGGCATACACAATGCAGATAATGGGAAGACAGTAAATGAAGAAAGTTAGGCATTAAGTTCAACTACTTCTAGCATGATGATTCAAATGGCAGTATCCAGAAGTCCTGCCCCAAGAAACATATATCTGGTTTTATGCACAAGGAACCACCTGTTGGAATTGTGTATTAAACAAGGACAAGCATGCAGAAACCATTTGCAGGGCAAAGAAAGAATATATGCCAATGAGCTCATACTGGGTATGTTGAGCATGGAGTCACTGACATGGCTGCTGCATGGGAGGATGGAGCACAGATGGGTAACACTGATGTGCTAGGATGTAGACTGGACACGTAACAAGTAATTTTTATCTTTTCTAGATTATCTTTAAATTAGGATTTTAGATGTCCAGATACATTCAACAGATCTAACCATTTTTATTAAATCCCTGAATAAATAAGCCATGTATGGAAATTTATCACATTTATAACTGTTTTTTTATATGTTGTTGTGGGCCTAAATGAATGTTGCCTTTAAATTTTAACCCTGAATATCTTTCATTGTAACTTCTTTGTTTGCCAGGTTATTTATCTCTAGCCTAAATACATGATGAGCTTACTACAGGACTACTTTTTAATGTTCTTTGCACTGTGAATTACTTCTAAATTATTTTTCTTTGGCAACTTTTCTTTCCTTTTTTGTCCTACTGCATATGCTGCAAAGCATCACAAAGAGGAGTTATATGTAGTTTCTTGTCTTTGCTAGTTGCGTAGTTTGTGTTAACATCATATTGTTTTTGTCATGTCTTTTTTTACTCCCTCCACATTGGTTTGCCTCTTGCCTTATAGCCTGCTGTTCTAGCTGCTGGCTGATTTGGTTCAATTCTGATATGACCAAACCATTTGATTCTTTGATGGTACAATGTTTCATTGGTGACTCTTGTCTCTTCTTGTTTTTCCCATCCACATTTCTTATACATCTCATCTCACATGCTGTCATTTTGTGTTTATTTTTCTAGGACTGTCCCTGTCTGGCATTGACAGCACAAAGTTGGTACCAACAGCGTATTTATCAGCTGCTGTGTGTGTGTGCACGTGCATGTGTGTGCATGTGTGTGTGTCAATGCCAGACAGGGACAGTCCTAGAAAAATGCGCGCGCGCATGTTATTTTGATGCCTCAAAAGTGGCGCTATTTTGTAATCTATGTTGCTGGCCGTCTGTATCCTGTTTTCTATTTCTCTGTTCAATCCTCCATCCGCTGTGAATACACTGCTTAGGTACTTACACTCCTTTACTTGTTTCAGTCTCTCTCCTTCAACAGTGGTGAGATTTTTGAACAGCTTTTCTATTTACGGTCATTATTTCTGGGTTGTTTTTTTTAGCATACACTTTCATATTTCTTGTAACTGTGTGTGTGTGTTCACATTGTGTGTGTGTGTTCACATTGTTTGTGTGTGTATGTGCATGATTTTTGCATATGTGGGTGTGTGCATGCGTGCGTGTCTGCAATCATTCAGATGATAGATAAATCTCAAGAAGATTGTGCACTTACATGTAAATCTTTTGGCCTTTATTCTAAAGCCATGTAGCTTACATCTCCAGAGTGACATTATTGTGTCATATAATGGGAGGTCAAGGTTCACTATCTCAGCATGATGACCAGAGTTTCAGATCAAGCCTATGTTCATGCCTTTTTATGCCCTGTGGCCAAGAAATCTAGATTTTTATCTTTGTCTTTCCTTTGCTCTTATTCCATCATGCTTGCCAGTTATCATTAAGCTTTCAAATTTATTTATCCTTTTAAACAATGCCAACAAATATTGACCGTCTATATCTCATTCTTGACATTTATGTTGGTTTTCTTGTTAGAGTATTTGATTTGTCATTGTTCATACAGATATTCTTTGATATCACACAAGCCTGGGCTATTAAAAGTGTGATTTGTTTCATATTAATATGCTATTTTTATAATGCTATCCATGTATTTATGTATTTTAATTAATTGTTTTGATTTTCAGAGGTGGCAAATGCCTGGCTGGAGACACTGTTAAGTTGCATTGACTTGTTACCAAAGGATGTTGTAGAGAAGGATGTAAGTATTGTCCACAGAAGATGTCAATTCTATGTTTGTGGTTGCTGTCTGCATAGCAAGCATGGTTTTCATGTGATAATTTTCCTTGAATCTCAGCTGTTTCTGCTTAGCTTGAAGATTGTACAGCAGGGAGAAGTATGTATGTTCACAATCTCAGCACTGGTTCTTTCTTTTATTAATGAATTAGCTTTATTTTACATCTTTTCTAAATCTCATATATGCATTTTAGAATGCCAGATTGCACATAACAGCCAGATTGCACATAAAGCCAGATTGCACATAACAGCCAGATTGCACATAAAGCCAGATTGCACATAACAGAAAGCTCTTCGAGTAGACTGTAAATTCCTACTTGTTTAGACAGTAAAAACAACAAGTCTCCAGATTGTAAGTGTAGAATATATATTATTAACTAAAATATTGAGCTAAATTGTTTTCATATAATGATAAAATGGAGCAGAAATATTGAAGACCCTGAACAGATAACAGTGGAAATATTGAAGACCTTGAACAGATAACAGTGGAAATATTGAAGACCTTGAACAGATAACAGTGGAAATATTGAAGACCTTGAACAGATAACAGTGGAAATATTGAAGACCTTGAACAGATAACAGTAGAAATATTGAAGACCTTGAACAGATAACAGTGGAAATATTGAAGACCTTGAACAGATAACAGTAGAAATATTGAAGACCTTGAACAGATAACAGTAGAAATATTGAAGACCTTGAACAGATAACAGTAGAAATATTGAAGACCTTGAACAGATAACAGTAGATATATTGAAGACCTTGAACAGATAACAGTAGAAATATTGAAGACCTTGAACAGATAACAGTGGAAATATTGAAGACCTTGAACAGATAACAGTAGAAATATTGAAGACCTTGAACAGATAACAGTGGAAATATTGAAGACCTTGAACAGATAACAGTGGAAATATTGAAGACCTTGAACAGATAACAGTGGAAATATTGAAGACCTTGAACAGATAACAGTAGAAATATTGAAGACCTTGAACAGATAACAGTGGAAATATTGAAGACCTTGAACAGATAACAGTAGAAATATTGAAGACCTTGAACAGATAACAGTAGAAATATTGAAGACCTTGAACAGATAACAGTAGAAATATTGAAGACCTTGAACAGATAACAGTGGAAATATTGAAGACCTTGAACAGATAACAGTGGAAATATTGAAGACCTTGAACAGATAACAGTGGAAATATTGAAAACCTTGAACAGATAACAGTAGAAATAATCTTAACATTTAGTTCAATGTACATAGTACAGTATACTTAATTTAAAAAAAAAATCACGTCAGAATCACTTAGCAATTTTTTTTCTTTTTTGTTGGTAGCAAAATTAATTTCTCATGCAGCCTGTGTTTGGCATATACTATCTGTCTACTTTTCACATAAGAATTTGTTTTAGCCACATACAACCTTTCAGTAACACTTGCAATCAACTGCTGATATCTATGCAATCTGCACTGAGCCTTGCACTTCACCTTTGACACATGTACAAGTGTTCTCTTGACAGATGTACATTAGTCTTTTGATAACTGTGCCAGATGTGAATGAAAAATACTGAATAACCATATGTGAGTAGCTGAAAAATGTTCACATATATATTGTATTTATGATATTTATAATGCACCCAAGGCACTAAAATGTTTTTATGGGACAAAAGAAAAATGATAAGACATGCATAGCTGGATAGGCTGTAAAACCTATGATTCTTCTACTCCTTGCTCTTCTCTCCTGAGATATCAGTTTCAAACAATTATAGTTGGCATATCTGCAGCTCTGAAGTAATTTGAGCATTGCAAACAATGTATTCCTGAATGGATTCTAATTTATTCAAGCTGCTGCAAACACATGTACATTATTTTAGGGTTTGCTCAAGGATATGAGACTGTATATCCAGTGTTTATTCATCTGATCAGGTTGGAAAGGTAGTTGCAGAAGAGTGACTGCTGTTTGAGGGAAAAGTTATAAGTGTCAGTTATTGTAGGGTATTGACTGATTCTGAAAATGAAAATGCCCACAAATTTTGCATTATTACTAGATAATTTTATATGGAAACCAAACATGTTGCCGTACACTTCAAAAAATGGAGTATATGTTCACATTTATATTCAGATGGACAGCTTATGTTTTCTATAATTTGTAACAGTCGGTAAATAACTTACAACAAAATGCAAATTGCCATCAAGAAAAACTTAAAAATGAGAAAAATCAACATAGTGTGAAGCCCTTGATGGCATAATTATCCCTGAATTGCAGTTTAAAAATTTAATTGTGAATGCACCAGTTTCATTCAATTTAGGATGATTGGGAAGCAAATACAGTATGATCTAATTTGGCCAGATATTGTAGTTTAAGTTTTCATTTTCTTCTACCTCTTCAGTTTGATTTCTTTAAAAATCCCAATATGGGTTTTATGGCCGTTTTTAATGGCCGTTTTTTATGGTTGGGGGGGGGGAAGGGGGGGGGGGGAGGAGGGGGGGGGGGGGGGGGGGGGGGGGGGGGGGGGGGGGGGGGGGGGGGGGGGGGGGGGGGGGAGGGGGGGGGGGGGGGGGGGGGGGTGGGGGGGGGGGGGGGGGGGGAGGGGGGGGGGGGAGGGGGGGGGGGGGGGGGGGGGGGGGGGGGGGGGGGGGGGGGGGAGATAGACCTACTGTCTCCTAAGTTTGTTGTAGAAGGTTACTAATTTAGAGATTCCTGAAATTTAAATGTGTTGGGTCAAAAGGCACAGATATTATAGCCTAGCTGTAAACAGTACAATATGCCAGCCACCTTTTTTTTAGTGCAAACGTATAAGCTTTGTTTAATGTCATCCTGATGTGCAGACATTTCCACAACAGTTTGGGAAATGATTGAGTTTGTAATATTTCTACTCAAAGGAGATATAACCCACATGGGTTTTAGCTATTTTTATAAAGTGTTAAATGTTTGAATACAGTGATTCATTTCTTGTCCAAGGTTCCCTATCACTTCTTTCTGTTGTGTTGTTTTGACTTCATTATTCTTAGAGAAAGATATAGTTGTACAGAATGTGAACAGATGTTCTATGCTGAGGTAGTCTAGCCACATTGAATAGTTTACACCATTTCAGATACTTCATGGAGAAAATTATGTATGTATTAGCAAATAGATCTCTATTTCACATGTTTGGTTTTTCATGTTGAGCTTTAAAACTTACATTGTTGGCTATCTGTTATACAGTTTTGTGTTTTACATTTTTTGTATAACCAATTATGTTATTCTTGTTGAAATGTTCATTGTTACCTGGTTTCTTTTTAAACTTAGACCCCCCCTTCCCCAGCAAAATACTGTGTCCCTCAGCTCTAAGTAATGCTGGATTTACTGACAGAAGCTGTGGAGCATTCTTATGTCAAGCTGCTATTAGAATCTGAGCTTCCCAAAACAAAATTATGCAGTTAACAAATTTAACTGTTAGTAAAAGTACGCAAGGTACACAGTGAAAGCACAGTAAATTAATTAAATCATTCTTCCTGTTTTGATTTTAAACAACTTTAAATACTTACATTTGAGAAATATTTGATAAGTTCAGTGTTTGTTTTCTCACTCAACAATTTTCAGCTTACTGACTGCATAATGTGACCCACTTTTTGAGTCACACAAAATGAGTTGTTATCCTGTCAGAGAGAGGCCAATTATTTGTATTATTACAGCAGCCATACTGGACGGCCATCTTCTTCTTCTTCTTCGCGTTCACTAGCTGTAAACTCTGGTCAAAAGTTCTGGTTGTTCATCCACTTCTGGACTGCAGTCTTGCTCCAGAACCTGAGTTTTGTGTGTGCATCCGTTTTACAGATCTGACTCATTTGTATGCAGACTGCTGGTTCCTTGCCTCTCAGGCAGATGCACTCCGACTTCAAAGGAAGCTCCCAATTAGCCGACTTTTACGACATGCTTTTGTATAGGCAGTGGGTCTATTCTTGTTTTCCCTATAATAGGGCCCCGGAACCCACACAGGGGGAACGGCCATCTCATTTCCATAATAAAATGTATTATATGATTCTGAAACTTTATATTGATCATTTTGAATGCACAGTAGGACATTAGTAGGTACCTTGTTTATGGCCTTCACAAAAGATATAAACATCGATATGAAATTAGCTGGTTTGTATTGGTTAAATGCAATAAATGGTCTCTATATATGACTGCTCTTTATAAATTCATTTAGCATTTGCTTCACAGTTTCTGTAAATGTCTCCTTGCCTCTGGCTCCAGCTTTATGTGTCACTCTTGATTAAACATTCTCACATATGTCATTTTATTTAGCTACATACTGATTATGTGAGACAAACTTATTTTTCTGTTATCAAATAAATTGGTCTGTGCCATCCCTTTTAAATCATGTGTATCATTTTTTTTTATTTTGGTGTAAATTCCTCTTGGTTCATTTAAGACATTAATATCACATTAAGACATTGTCACATTAACTGATGTTTCACAATATGTGTAGCTGTAATACAACTTAAAATATTCTGGTGTAAAATAATGAATCTTGTTCAGTGTAGCCTTATGAATAAATTGCATGAGGCATGTTTTCATATAAAAGCATTATGATTGTCAGAAATTTTGACATAGTTCTTTTGTTGCATTTTGTTTACAGTCATCTTCAGCTGTAGACTTTGGTTCAACTCCCCAGCACTACCGCGTGATGCTGGCCACATCACCCATTGGCCTATAAAATATAGGTCAAACCCTATATGCCCAATAAGTCTGAAGGCATGGAAAGGATCCTTTACCTTTCCTTTTTAAGCACTTCTAACCAAACATAAATTTAGAACTGCCTCATCTAATGAGAACTAATAACTGTACAGTAGTTGTCAGGTGTTAGATAGCAGGCCAGCTTGGCTTGGGAATTAGCTAAAGTTGGTACTGTAAGTTAGTAGAATATAAGTAGAATGAATATAAAAACAACCAGTAAAGTAAAGGACCCTTCTTACATCATTGTTGTATAAGGCATATGATGCTAGGTAGTAAAAGACCACTGGACACTCAATGGGTGATGTGGTCAGCATCCAGGACATCATCTGGTACCCATGTTAGTCATTTTTGACCTGGGAGCAAAGGTCAGTTCTGAGGGGGAAAAATCTGCCCCAATGCAGATTCAAATCTAAGATCTTCAGGCCAGGACAAAAGCATATAACCACTGTGCTGCCATAAAGCAACTATATAAGCCTTTAATCCTATTATCCTCCTACTTCACTTATTTGAAATTGTGAGAAACTACTGAGTTTTGTGTTACAGGTATTCTAAACACTCACATCTAAAAATACACACACACACCTAGAAATATGCTAATACATACATTGAGTTAATCACTAACCATAAATGTGTATTCTTGAATAATCTGAAAATTATATATATATATAAACACACACACACAATTTATTATTTCAGTTTTTGTGAAATGATGATACAGTTGACTATTTGCATGTTCCACTTGTGTTTACATTTTATTTGCATTGTTAGATCATGGAACCTGCCTTAAAAAGTAAAATAAAGGCATATTGGGCACATATTTATAGATCATTTGGAACTCGGTGGTTGATGGGGTCAACATCATGTTAGCCGCCTCTACTTCCCAGGACTATACCTGGTACCTACTCAAGGCTGGGTCAGCCTTGGAGCCAAGATCATTTTTGAAAAATAATCTGGCTCAATCAGGCCCCAAACCCACAACCTTCCAATCCACAGGCCAGAGTCTAGCTGCACCCTACTTTACAGTTAGCCTTCTGCTTGTTTCTTTAAGGTAGGATTTCCAGTCCTATATGCCAGATAGCCAGCTTGTTGCTAATACTTTGAAAAGTTATTTGTTTTTAGCCTGGGATTGCTGATGCACATTCCATATTTGGATGGGGAGTCCAAAGGTCCCATCACCTAGCTACTGAGTTGAGTGCTTGGTGTGACACTATGAACTGTGGATTTTACGTGGAATGTTTTTATCTTTTGTGCCTACGATCGCTTTGTTATAAACTGCATTTGAAATAGCCAGCGGCCGAATGTGTTTGGAATGGTGCATACTAATGCAGTATTGTGTATACAGTGCTGGATTTTATAATTGACTGCTTGTGTCAACGAGTTGCAATTCTGGTGTGGGACTGTTAGTGTTGGCACATCTGGTGGCTGCCTTATGCATTTGCTTTGTCTTTGCAAGCTTCAGAATCGTTCCTGGGATTGAAATGTTTTTCACTAATTTTCAAATGGGACAGTCCAACAACATTTTATGTGATTTTTGTGATATCCACTGGCTTAGGAATGAAGCAGTTATGGGGGACCTTGACTGATGACCAACTTCTTCAGAGGTGTCAGTTTGTACATGTCTTTCTGTTTAAACTTTTTTTTTTTTAAATTGATAAACAACCCCTTTTTTCCGTCCCTTGAAATTGGTTGTCCACTTAAAAGTATTCCAGAGCAAACCCTGTGGAGAGAAAAATGCAAACTAGCAATACAAATCCAGACAAATATGAAAAAATTATCCAGCAAGAAAGAGCAAGATAGTATACAACACAGAATGGTCACCCTCAGCTATATTGATGAATAATACCCACAAGAACAATGGGTCCGAGTCTATACAGATGGGTCCGCACATAGTGCAGTTAGAAATGGTGGTGCGGGAGTGTACATAAAATTCCCAGATGGTACTAGGGATAAGTCCAGTATACCAACCCTAAAGTACTGCCAAAACCATGATGCAGAAACCCATGCTATCAAGATAGCAACAGAAACTGCTAAATACCAATCTTGGCTCAGTGTCTGTGGTAATGCTGACAGATGCAACATTTGTACTTGAAGTACTCCAGTCTGAATACTAGAATTGCAAAACATCCTTCAGCGAAGAGTCGTAATGCAGTGGATACTGTCTCTTTGTGGAGTGCCTAGAAATAAGAGACCTGATCAATTGGTAGGGGAAGGTGCAACAAAAGAGCAGCTGGAGGTACTAAAATATACCACCAAAAGAAAAGGATAATTCAATTAATCAGGAAACTTTCAGCCCCAGCATAAGACAACTGTTTTATTATGGACAGATCAGAACCAGTCAGCCAGTCATTATCCTTTGCCTCAGTACAGGACACAACCAGTTATGCAGCTACATGTACACAAAATTCAAGATAGGGGTATCAGCCATGTGCACCTGTGGAAAGGTGCCCCAGACAGCAGAACAGGTACTCCAGGACTGCACTAAATGTGACACATTAAGGCAAACATTTTGGCCTCTGTGGACCACTCAATGAACTACAAATGACAGTGAGATTAAATGAGAGACAACATTTCTTATATAGACAACTTATTTCAGGTGAACAAAAGCAGAAAAAAGAAGATGAAGAACTGCATTATTTTAATGTCAGAAGGACTTCCCTAATTGCACAAGTCATGACAATAACCTTTCCTTTCTTTCTCCTATTTGGTCAGTATAGTCTCCATTGACTGACTTTTAGACAAGGGATCAGAAGTGGTGTCAGAGCCACAATAGAAATATAGAAAGCTGCAGGCACACCCTATTAACTATAACCTTGCAGCAACACCAAAACCTTTGTGAAGGAATTCTTAGCCAACCAGACATCCAGTCTGATACATTGCTCTGTCAGATTTTGTCATCATAGTGAAGGGAGAGGTTCCAATCCTGAGTGCTTATAAAGTGCCTGTAATGGATTCTTTGTTGTTGATTGCCCTCTATCTAAATGTATAATAATTATCTACTGCTCACATGGCTTTCCTATGATCTTCATGTGCATATGTTATGAACACTAGCTAGTCTTCTTTTTGATCTAGATTCAGTGTCCTTCTTCTGCCACCCTTTATCCTTTAATTATCTTGCATCAAGTTGTCCTATCCTTTGCCATTCTGCAGCTTACCCTCTGTACTCTCCATAATTTCACTCCATTTTCTAATCTCTCCACTGTTTTTGTTTTGTTTTTGGTTTGTCTTTATTCTTTTGACACTCTGGGTTCCAGTCCAAGAATACCCTAATTTGCAAATCTTCGCAGTATGCGCACTGTCTAATGCTAAGGTATGCTGTACGTTGTCACAACCAGTATGCCAGAGACACCTTTATCTGTGCTTCCTGTTGTGTAGTCTTCCCAGGTTTAGGTAACTTTTTGTCATATGATTTCAAAAACAGTCAGCAGTCATGTCATCCAAAACCCAAATAGACAGCTATTAGATCTTTCTATTAGATGTTTCTGAGTTTGTCCTGTCATACTTCTCAACGTCAGTCACGCTGCCTTGCATGCTGCCTCCTAACCATTATTCATAGTATGAAATGATTTGAGGTTTTGAATGTTTAGAAATGTGTTCTGTGCATATCTAACATTTTATAATGGTGTTCAGCTGTTCTTTGATTTATGATATTAATTTACAAATGGAAAATGAAATGTACTACTTCATATGCTGCTGTTGATTCATTTATGAATTTTAATTTGCCTATTATTTGTGTGCCTGTGCTTTGTTTTTCACTGGTTCTTCTCGGCCTTTTCTTCAGAGCCTGTTCTCTACTACTTTATCTCCACCACTTATCGTGTTGTCCTGTTCTCTTCAGCATTGGCTTATTTTATATGCTTTTGCTGTCTGTTTTTCTCTTTCTTCTCCTCTATTCTGTTCTTTCACATATTGTGCCACTTCTGTGTCATATTCTCCTTTATACTATTCCCATCTTATGCTGAATAGTTTCACCTGTTTTCCTGTACTGCTTTAACCTGTAAAAATTGATACTTTGGTTCAGATGTACTTTCTCTCACACATTTTAATTTACAAATTTACCCATTGTTACTACTTTCACTTTTGTCTACTTTATTTCTTGTGCCTATTCCATTCTACTTCTTTGGGGGCCGCGTTAATGCAGTCTATAGGAGACTCACTTTCAAATCCAGCTGCGACTCACTGCAGCCCAGGGCCGGTGTTTGAAACCGGGCGGTTCCTGGGGTTTACCTAGCCTCTAGGTAATGGATACCAGAGTTAACGCTCTGGGGTAAATGGAGGAATGTCACTGTAGCTATGGAGTTGCGTGAGGACGGCGACACAGGCGGACAGTTTCTTACCAGCTGTCCGTATTGGTGGCAGAGCACTTATGGTTTATAACCATGTGCAATGATGCTGGTTCACATCTCCTGACTTTATCTTTATCTTTTTACTTCTTTGGTCAAGTATAAAGTTATTTTGAAACTAGTGCAAAATTATGTGACTGAAATGTACATGATTAAAAATAGTCAAGTAGTTTGTTAGAATGAGTTTAGGTGTAGAGAACAAGAGTTTTCTTGCACATATTCAGAGCAAGTTTCAGAATTCACAAATACTTCTACAAATAAATATGTAATGAGAATTTTAATCAAAATGGAAACGAGACATGAAATTATTTTTATACACTTTAATGAAGTAGTAATGAACTATTTGAGTCTTGATAATGAATGTTGCAACTAGTAATTAAAAATAAATTCTGTGGCAGAATTTGTTGACACTCTTCTACAATTTCAGCTGGATTTGGAAAGTTCTCAGCGTGGTTTTTGTTGTGATGTTTCAACTAATGTGGGTGTTTGACAGTACATTTTTCATTCTGTTTTGTTTATCAGGGCATTTTCACTTATTTCTGCCAGGTAACGAGCTAAACATATTGATGGTGGTACTAATGTTTTCCCTTAAAAATGGGCAAAATCAAAAACTGTTTCAAATGCCACAATATGAAGCATAAAGCTAGCTCACTGCTGTGGTAGTGATATAACTCGCATGTCTTTTGAAAGTTCAATTTCCACAATTTGTCTGCTACGGTTTGTTCTGATATCTCCCAGTCAAGCATAAGCATACAAGCCACTCATGTCAGATCTGTTGTTGCATTCATGAGGATTTTGTTGCTGTTGTTGCATTCATGAGGATTTTGTTGCTGTTGTTGCATTCATGAGGATTTTGTTGCTGTTGTTGCATTCATGAGGATTTTGTTGCTGTTGTAATTACCATTGTCTGTTTTTCCACTGTTCAAAAAAAGACTTTTTTTTAAAAAAGTTATATTATCATTTGTCGGCTCTGTGGCTAAGTCGATACGAACGCTTAATAATGCCGGGATGCCGGGTTCGATCCCAGCTGCGGGCCATGCCCCTTGTGTTGGTTTCAACAGTATTATCAAGAAAGCTGACCGTGCAGAAAGCAATGGCAAACTACTGGACGTAAATTTGCCTAGAAAAACCACACAACAGCCAGGGGCTGTTGGGGTTGGTTCTGCAACGTCCTGTAAAGAATACACAACTAACCTAACCCTTATCATTTCCTATAGCTACATATTTTTTCATCAATCCAAATATCATCTGCATATCTTGGGTGGTTTGCTTTATGCCTAGCAGGTACTGTAATGTCATATCTTGTGCAGGCTACACATCTAAAAAAATATTTGCTAAGAGACTCTGGCACATAAAGATCTATCTTAAAAGTTGTTCATGCAAATATTGGATTTCTTACCAAAAATTTCACCTATTAAATACTTAATGATTTCAGTTAGACTATACTTGTACTTAAACAAAGAAAATCAGTTTAAAAATCCCCCCTCCCCCATCCCTGCTTTTTTCTCCGAAAATATCACAGTAGAAAAATTAAAGAATCAAAACTAAAATTAGCCACAGGAAATGCCTTTCTTTCAGGTATTTCTTGCCAGTCCTGTCGACAGGTCTTTGCCCTGATCTTGTAGTCATGTTATAATGCAGTGTTACAGACAATTTGTAAACAGCTGCTTCCTGTTATTTTTATAAAGAGTTCTATCTTTTGTTGAATGGTTGTATAAGTTGTCATTACTAACATAAACTGTATAGACAACATTGTTTACCTGTTTCAGGTATTATCAATAGCAGTGAACAAAGGACAACTGTGCCAGACCCTGCAGGCTAGACTGTCTTGTTGTAAGATTCTGGGGAAAGTGTCTTCAAAATTTGAACATTTTGTGTAAGTCATTTCCTCTTCCTTGACCTTCTTTGTGCTTAATGAAATTGTTTGAGATGGTGTAAATAGAAAATGGTTGTCATGCCTGCCACCTGTTATGTCATGACAAGTTACCATAGTAACGTTGTATCAAGCATTGGCAGCCTCATCACTGAAAAATAATTCTCACAATGTAATTCATGAAACCAAAAAACTGGTTGCAATACAGCTTTTAGTATTCTGAAGTAAAAATTGTGTGCCTCCACAGAAAAGACATACATGATATAATGGGATAGGTAGTATGGCTTGTAGAGAGAATTGAACATTTTTCAGGAAAGAACATGACACTGAAGCTAGAGATATTACTTTGAAGAACGTGTTAGTGGTATAACTAGAAAATATTTCCTATGGAACCCTCAGAACAAAAGAAATAGAGAGAGATGTAAAAGAACATTAAATGCAGATGAATTGGGAGGACAGGACATGGCAATAGGAGGGAATAAGTGCCTAATAGAATAATTTCCCTGAGTAGCTTCAGGGGGTGGGGGGTTAGACTAACCATCCCTTAACGAGCAAGTTGTAAAGGCAAATAAGGGTTTGCTGAAATAAAATGTGTTGAGCCGTAAGGCCCAGATATCACAGCTAATCTATAACCTGCATCACAGTATCCCTGGTGTCCCTTAAAAGAAAAAGAAAAGGTAAAGGGAAAGTCAGGAGATGTGAACTAGCGCCATTGCACACGGTTATGAACCATAAGTGCTCTGCCAGAAGTACGGACAGCTGATAAGAAACTGTCCGCCTGTGTCGCCGTCTGCACTTAACTCCATAGCTACAGTGACGCAGCTGGATTTGAAAGCGAGCCTCCTATCGACTGCACTAACGCAGCTCCTTAAAAAAAAGAAGAAGAATGCAGACAAAGAACTGAGTTTGTTTAGCTGCTGTGCTTCACTACGGAGGAGAAGAATAAAATGCAGAGGAAGAAAGACACAAAAGGCATGAAAACAGTGAGCTGGCATCATCATCATGAATTTTGACAATTGCAGTGTTTGATCATTTTAACCCCAGCTTCAGCTCTCTTGTACTGTGTATCAGTTCATGTAGACTCAGTTAAATCTTGTCATAGCTCAAAACTGTCCAGATATTCACATTTTAATTTCTCTTTGGTCAGTGCCTGTTGCTTTGGCATTGCACATGTGCTTTATAATGCCAGGGTGCCTGATTCAATCCTAGTTGCAGGCGATTTGGCAGCAAACCGCCACCTGCCTTAGTTTTGACAGTGATATCAAGTGCAGACAATTCAGAGAGCAGTAGTAAACTACTGAAAATAAATTTTCCCAGAAAAATCACAACAGCCAAAAAATGCTGGAATTGGTTCTGCAACATCCTGTAATGGATACGCAAGTAACTTTTTAACCACCTTTTTTTCAGCTAATTGAACTAGTTACTACAGTGTGTTTTAAGTTTTTCTCTTCTCACTATATGGCCAAGATAATGTTGTCTCCATCGGATCTGATTGAAAGTTTTTTGTTGTTGTTAATGTTGTTATTTCATGGCTGTCCATAAAAATGAAAGTTGTTGTTGAAAATAATTATTTATATATCCAGTTTATCCTGACTCATTCATTTGCAAATGTCCTCATGTTTTTAAAATGACCATCAGTTTGTTTGTTGGAACAGTGGTTTTTCCACCAGTGGAGCCTACTTCATATACCAAAAGAGGAGAGGGGAGTGGAGCCCCAGTTAGACTAAGAACAAGGTAAAATGATATCAAAGAAACTCTCTCCGACAGTATCATGTGTTTATGGTCGAGCAGCCAGAAAAGATAACCAAAGTCTCTGAATCTTCCACGACATCTGAAGCAGTGCAGTGAATTAGGAACTGAAGAAGTGACTTGAAGGTGGGCTGAACAAAACTGCAGTCACTTGTGTTCTGTGCTTTCAGGATACATTTGGATGGAATTTTTTTGAAGCCCATCTCTTGACATCTTCATCGCTCTCTGCTGATATAACCCTATTTTAACTATTTCCCTTACCTATGTGCCTTCTACTCATGATTCAATTATTCTGTAAAAGTATACTGTCCCTAAACAACCATATTTTCTTTGTTCTTTGATATCATTCATTTGCTCTTTATTGTCAGCATTTGAAGAGTTTTCTTGCTTGTCCTATTGCCAGCTTTCTTTTAATCTTCATATTTTACAAATGATCTTCGATTTCTCATTATTTAAAGGTGCATACAATTTGTCTTTGTCTTTGGCTTCCTGAAAGGAAACCAAGAAAACCCAGCAGCTGTAACCTCATCGTTATGGACCCTCAAGCGTAACATTATTTGTTAATAAGTTTTGTATGGAAACACATTTTGGCAATTTTCTGTATTCTTCTCACAGAGTAAAAAATGATGTCCTGCCAGTTGTACTGTCATTGTGTGGTGATGTTGAGTATGATGTACGGGCATGTATGTGTCAGCGGCTGGATGTTATAGCTCGGGGACTTGGGTAAGTTTTCAGGATCTAAATGAGGATGTTGGAATTTTCTTCCATTCTTATGCTGTCTTTTATTGCAGTATGGTGCACATATGTAAGATACATTATCATTTGATGTGTTTTTTTTTAAATAGCAAAAAAGTACTTTTTTTATTCGTCTTCTGTATTTTTGGAACTACAGATGCAATCTAATTTAAGATGTATGACTTATCCTTCGACTACACCATACTCCTCTTAGGATCCTTTTTGTATGAACATTTTTGAATCTGTAAATGAAAGCTTTTGGTAGTTGTTAGAAAAACACTGTTTAAATGTTAGCTTTGTAACTGTAATTACTGTTCAAACAACTTTAAACCAAAACTTGGAAGTAACCCAAAATTTTTTTTTGTTTTTCTGAATTAGTCCCGGCTGAGAGCACTGCCTAACTGTGAAATAAAATTCTGCAAATTCAGAGGCTGCTGTTTGCCATTTCACACCAAGAACTTATGTTACAATGTAACTGAATTGTCAAACTAAAAAAAACAAAAACAAAAACTGTCTTTTCTCGAAATGTGAATACTGGGAATGGCACTCTGGTAAACATCAAGGATTGATTGTGAAACGATTTTCGCTAGACTCTAAGCCATAAACCATAATATGTAAAATCTATACTAACAAAGGCATCTAACAATATACACTTGAAGCACATGCTTGAAACAGTTTACACTAATTAATGTAACACACCTACTTTTGACTGCCATGCCGCTGCTGTAATCTGAAGTCGTCATCCAGATTCAACTATGTTTTTGTAGGATTATCACTTTAAAACACTATCCCACTGCATCATAAATCTCTCCTAACTGTTCCATCCTGCTGGCCCCAACGATCGGCCCATTTATGAAAAAATGCACCATATGTGTAATTGACATGGGAGCTAACCAAAAAATTTTAGGGAAAATTTACTTTAAGCACTACCAAATTGTTTCCCTTAAGTAACCATAGAGAAATGAATTAACAGCTTCAATTATATTTGCAATTTTAACATGGCGGCGAGTGTCCAAAGTTACGATTGCAGGGGGGTGCGATTGTGATAGCCAGGCATACACATCAGCGGATCGCATAACGTGCGATAGTAGTAGTCAATAGGTTAGTGAATGTTTTTAGTTTTTTAGTAATTGCCTTAGTTGTTTTCCATGTTTCCGCTCCATATATCAGAATTGAATAATCATTAGAAATAATAGTTTTAGGTAGTTTCTTCAAAATCATGCCGTCCTTTTTAGGATGCAATTTTTTGTTATTTGAAGCCTTACTCTGGCTCATGCCAGGGGCTGCAATATAGCCTGGCCATAAATATGGCCTAATGGCTGAACGCGGTTTCTTGGACCTCTCCACAGTGATCCTCATCTACATGGTAGCACTTTGTGTCATCGGGTATTTATCGCTTGTGTGATGTCCTGGTGGGGTAGAGAGTCAGTTAGGCAGTCATTGTTTTAGGTTTAGTGTTAGTTTTAATTTCTTTTGACCTCCACAAATTTCCAAATGCTATGATAGCTCCTCTTGTCTTTTGTATTCACATTTTAATATCTCATTCAGTTCCCCCATCTTTATCTACTTTACTGCCCAAATATGTGTGATTCCACATCTTGGAGTGAGATACCATTACGAGAAACAACATGACTATTTGCCTGATTTATTTTTATTGTCTTTGTCTTTCCCTTATGGATTTTCAGACCTAGCTGTTGTGATTTTGTGCATCAAGTATATTTAATTTATCTTGCATCTGGTTCCGTAAGTGGGGCAGAATCAGCGAAGTCCAGATCATCAAGCTGTTTTGTAGGGGTCCACTGAATTCCATTCCTGGTGTCAGCAATTGCTGTCTTCATAATCCAATCTGTTGCCAGTAAAAATAGCAGAGGCAACAAAAGACATCCCTATCACAGAAGTTTTTATTTCAAATTCATAGCTTTCCCTCATAAAGAACTCAACATTTCATATGTTTATATGTTGTCTTTACTTAGTTAATAATTTTATTAATTGGATTCCATAGTGCCCCATTAATTTTCAGAGAGATTCCCTGTCAGTGCTATCAAAAGCTTTTTCATAGTCTATGAATCTAATGTAAAGTGGTAAGTTAAATTCAATTTCAGCTCTCTTATTATACGTAATGTGGCTATCTGGTCAGTACAGAATCTGTTTGGCTGAAAACCTGCCTGTTCATTTCTTAGTTTTATATCAAAAGCATCTTTTAATCTTTCCAAAAAAATTCTACTTTATATTTTTCCGGAACTGACAGCAATATAATTCATCTATAGTTCTCACATTCCTGTAGATCACCTTTTTGGGGCAGTTTCACAAGAAATCTTTCTCTCCAGTCTGCTGGTATTTCTTCGATCTCCCAGACTTTACTAAATAATCTGTGTAGCAATTCTGTTGATGTGTTTTTATTAGCCTTAATAACTTCTGCTGGGATACCATCTGGACCTGCCCCGTTTGTGTCCTTCAGAAGATTGCTAGCTTTCCTAATCTCCTGTTAGGACGGTATCTCACAGTAGATATCCTCTTTCCTTTCTAAAAGCTGGGTGTCTGGAGGGACCTCTGGGGATGATCTATTCAGAAGAATTTCAAAATATTCAGCCCATCTGTCCATTTGGTCTTTAGTGCTTCTTGACTATTTTTGATTGATCCACTTGGCTGACTATATTTATCTACTGATTTCCTTGTGTTACTGTAAAGGTATCTAAGGTTTCCTTTTGCTGTTGCTATCTACTTTTCTTGTACTAGATCATCTAAATATTTCACTTTATCTGCCCTTATTCGCCTCCTAACTTCCTTATTAGTTTCTATGTATTTTGCCTGAGCTCTAGCTTTGCTTTTAAGGCTGCCTTTTTACTTTTCCTCTCTGCTTGTTCCAATAGCATCAGGGCCACTCTTTCACTGTGGGGGTGGGGGAGGGGGGTGGGAATTGTCCTCTGTATGTCCTGAGAATAAAAGTTTTCCCTGAAATTTTGAATACCTTTTCTCCACCCTAGCCCAACTAATTTTTATAATCCTAAAATACTAATCCTGTAATGTTTCATTTCTCCCATTACCTCCATTGTCCATCCTACATCATAAGAACTAACATTCCAGTTGCCAATTCTTGAGATTTTCCTAGGAGAAAGAAGGTACGTTGACGATCTGGACTCCTTTCGGCTTTCTTCACACCATATCATACTTCTACTAGAAGAGCATCCGCTCATCTTGGTTGGCTGGGTTTTCCTTGTTTCTTTTCTTGACGTTTCCTTGGTTGATAATTTTTGTGGCTATTGTTTTTGATATGAGGAATTAGCTGACTCCAAGCCAAACCCTAAACTTAGTCACCTCTTACCACATGCCTGGTAGTGTGCAGTGTTATAATTCTTTGCTTCCAGTTAGGGCTCTGGTAACACACAGGTAGAATAAAGCATTAAATAGAATATATTTCCTAGGGCCTAAAAGAAAGTGTGTATCAGGTGATGTCAGCTTGGCTTTAAAAAGCCATTTGATTTACAAGAAAAACCCTCCTTTTATGTTTAAAAAAAAAAGTATATTCATATCTTGACTTCCTAAATGCTGCACAGGTGTGTACAATGCTAATAGCATTAACTGTGCATTTCATAAATATGTCATTCTAGAAAAGTCAGTTTAGTATCATTTACAGGGAAATGGACAAAACCAGAAGTTTCAGTTTTGTGGCTTCTTGGAGCGATAGGCTTCATCTGTTTTCATGATTTTGTTATTTTCTAAGATATCCTAATGTGCTGCATGTCTTTTTGATAAGTTACTTCTTTATCTTGTGATCACTTCTCTGATTAACACCGACTGATAAGTTACTATTTTAGATGTCACTAGTGATCATTTCATTGACAGACTGGAGTTAACCAAATCCAAGCTCCTGCCTCAGTTGATTGAGTTGTCAGAAGATGAATCACAGAATGTGGTGTGTGCATGTTTGGAAACTACAGCTAACATTATTGGAATGCTCGACCGTGGTGAGGATTAATTTTCACTTTTCATTCTAAATCTATGTGAATTGTATTATTGTATTTGGTTATGTGGCATGACATTTTCATGTAAAATTATTGTTGCATGCACTGATTCGCAAATTATTCTTCCCTACGACGCTTAATGGCAGAAGTGGTATATGATGATGATGTTCAAGAAATTCAAGAAATCATGAGCTGATAAAAAGCACAATGAAGACATTTTGACTGGAGTTAACTAATTACCTGCATTCTTTGGGAAAACTGGATTTCCTCATGGCAAGTACAAAGTTTGAGAAAGAGAGCCAGAGTGAGACCAAGAGTGAAGATGTTGGACGGTTGTCATCGTAACATTCTAGAACATCTGTATCAGACATGACTGACAGCACATAAGACAGAAGGCTGTGGACTGACATGACTACCATTCGACACCTGGTGTAAACCATAAGAATAAAATATTTTAAAGAGATTTTTGAGTTTAAAGATCTCAGAAACATTGCAGAAGTACTATATGGACCATGAAGAAGACAGACATTCTGCAAGGTCTGAAAATTGAAAACTGGCCCGTAAACAGCAACATATAAAATATTATGCACATTTTTGTTTTTGTCGGCATCTGTGACTTAATAGTTGTGAATGCACTTCAGAATGCCGGGATGCCGGGTTCGATCCCAGCTGCAGACGGTTTATCTTGCATTGGTTTCGACAGTGGTACCGAGAGCTGACCATTCAGAAGCAATGGCAGACTATTGAAAGTAAAATTTACCTAGAAAAACCACAACAGCCAAACAATTCTGGGTTTGGTTCTGCAACTTCGTGTAAAGGATATGCAACTAACATTTTCTATACAAATTTTAAACATGAATATGCATGAAGCAGGACAACTGGTAAGTGACTGAGCAGAGTTTCTGCTGGCTGTGATAGGAGTAACATTCTGCTGCTTGATGATGATTGATAAAGGAAAGTGTGAAACTTGTTCATTTATTATTTGACAAAAATGTTGATAGCAATGCGTATTACAATTTAGTTAGTTTTTGGAAATAATTTGTAAATTTTATGGTCGCTGTCAGCAAGACAACTAGTGCTCACATTTAGGTTTTTCTAAAACAGTGATTGGTGACAAGTAGGGTATTTCAATAATAGGTTGTCATATTTGTTAATGAACTGATGCAAGCTAAATACATAGTATTAAAATGAGCTGTTAAAAACAAAACACAAGCACATAAATTTCCAAAGGTGTTTTCCTATCCCCCTCCCCGCAAATGCATAGTTATCTGATGGCATGTTCTTATTTGTTGTCCACCTAAAAACTATCAGTGACCCTGATGCAAAATAACTGTAACCTGATTAGTTGAAGTCTAAGGTATTCTTGTGTGCAATTGGAACTGTTTCAGTCAATAATTTACAAAGATTTTGAGTGTCAGAATTATGCCAAAATTGTGTTCCTTTCAGAAGTTATGCATTGTTTTGTTTTTTAAAACAGGAAAACATCTTTCGATATGTTTTTTTTTTTAATCAGTATATAAAACGAGTCATGTCAGTTTTGATGTTAGTTATACAAGTTCTAGTTGATGCTAATGCAGAAACAAGGGAGATCTGAAGCATAACATTTTAGAGGAAGGTAGTTTAGAGATGCAGCAGCATTTTCTGAAACAAGTTCTGTCTCAGGTCTACTGGTAGGCTACATGTAGGTCATGCAAACATCTCATTTTCTCCTCTTATCCCAGAAAATTAGATCAGATTCTTAGTCTTCTCAGACAGGGGAGAAAAATGTGATGTGTATACATGCACATATTAAAATTCATTTAGCAGTTCAACATTGTAAACAGGTGGCCATATACGATTCTGCCTTGGCAAAGTGTCCCATTTTGAAAACCCACTTCAGGAAAAATGTTTTTAGTTTGTGTGTTTTCTGATACCAAACCTGACATCCCACATGACATCCCAACTGGCTTCAGTTGGAGAAGTATATTGGGGAGAATGCTAGCCTTATGCTAGGAAGAGGAAATGCAACATAAAAACTTAGAATTGGTGCTCTCTAGTGCTGAATAATTCATGCATTGATTTTTTTTCTTTTTTTCTTTTTAGTGTGCACCAGCTGTAAACTCTGGGGGAAGTTCTTGTTCTCCGTCCACTTTTGGTTTTTTGTCTAGTTTGAGAACTTCACTTTTGTGTATCCATCCATTTTACAGACTGGTTTATTTGTATGCAGACTTTTTGTTCTTCGTCTCTCAATTAAATGTACTCTGACTTTGAAAGAAGAACCTTTAGTTGTCTCCTATGACATGCTTGTTGGGGGGGGGGGGGGGGCAGTGACTCCCCATGGGGCCTCAGAACCTGCTTGGGGGGATATTTTTTTTTTAAAACTCTGCTGCTCTGACATATGGAAGATGTCTGGTCATTTTTGAAGTTGTCCATGAGCAGAGTAAGCATTGTTTCTGAGTATCAACACATCTACAGCTACAGAGAAGCCGAATGTTTCATAGATCTTCATAAAGTTTGATTTTGTTTTATTTTTTGAAAATTTACATCCAGGGTTCTTCTAATGTTTTTTTTTAAATTAGAGAAATAAAATTTTACAATATGTAATAACCCTGCTGTAGAGCTAAGCTGCTGTCTTGTAGCGTACAGACCAGACAAGGTTGAAACCTCTCTCACTGTTTCCATGTAAATTCTTCAAAGATCACACAACAGCTTATCAATATTCATCCTTTATTGGACACACTTCACCTCATGTGCTGCTAATTACATCTATCTCTGTCTACTCACTACCGGTAGTTGATTGTTCAGTTCCACACTGTGCAGTCATCCAAGATACAGGAATCAATAACTAAAACATATGCAACCTCATCTGCACATTTATTTATCCAACACAACTCTACTGTGGCGAATATATCTGGTGTTCCACTGCTGCAACTGTCATGTAATAACCATAACCACCTCTACACATTAAATTATTCGTGACCCTGTCGCCCCTGAAGGCGAGGTCACATTCAAATATAGACACGTCCGGTGGGTAGATAGTCCCTCATGTCTATTTACTCATTGTCCTCATGATTACTGTGATGATAATGGCTGCTTCTTAGGACAAATATATATAGTGCCAGTCAGAGCTACTGTGTCTGTGGTTTCTTAATGTCATTGATTCTATTGAATTCTTTTTGCCTGATTCATATATGTGATTTTGAACTTATTACATGTCTTTGGAATTTTTCAGTCTTGATTTAGTGTCCATCCTTCATTGTTCTTAGCCATCTGGAGTGTATGGATTAATTATTAGATCTTATTCTGTGTTAACATGACTATGATAGTAGACTATATAGTCTGGGAGCTATTTTCTTGTAGTAGTGGGGATGTCCAGCCAAGTTGCGCCTAGGAGTATATATACTGTAGTGCCATAACTTGTGTTGCCCCACCCCTGAAATAGGTTGGATGTGTATTGTGGCTGCGGGATTCCGCCTACACCATTACGAGCTGACAATCCAACATTAATACTATTTCAGAGTGCTGTTGGTTCATTAGGAGAAATCCTTAAATAGTCACGTGACATGAGCAGTCTGTGACAGAAAACTCACACGTGAGCACACTGCCAAATTCTCCTCCTCAGTAAAGGCTCACATCAAGCACTGCTTTATATGAAACTTGTCTGAGATAAATGTCATCTCCAAGTTCTACTCTAGGGGACAAGTCTAACAAAAGCTCTCATATTCTCTCTCCTCTACACATACCCACGCACTTGTTTACTTTAGCTCATTCATCCACTGTTCTTACAGGATAATTTCATTCCTCAACTATTCTTTGCCTCACACACAGAATATTCTTCAGGTTGACCTAATTTATTTTTTACCTCATCTCATTGCTATGAATAGGTTTCCTCATTTTGCTGTCCAGTCGAATTCCAAGTTTTAACTTCTATTTCTCTGTTGTCATCATGTTGAAAGTAGATGTAATTTATCAGACAAATGTTACCATCTGAAGGTTCATAATCATGTTTTTGTTTTTCAGAAGCTACTGTGAATGCAATAGTCCCAATGGTGAAAGAGTTGCTGGACAAGGCCATGAAAAATGTGAACGCCAGCCTGCCTGTAGCTTCCAGGCTGTTTGGTAGACTCTGTCACAGTTTGTTAGGTATTTGTTCATTGTTTTAATCATACAGATGTGTGACTGTGCTTGTGTGTGTGTGTGTGTGTGTGCACGCATACACATACATGCAAATACATATGCACTTGCACATACTCACTCATGCACCCATGCACACGCATGCACGCACGCACACACTCACACACACACACACAAACACACACAGTTTTTTAAGATAATTAAAATTTGTGGTGCATGTCAATAAATTTGCCATTTGTTGAAAAATAATTGAGCAAGAAAAATAATTTTTCAAAAAGGGAAAAAAGCTAGGAAGATGTCTGCGTGCATCTTAAACAGAGATGAAGCAAATATACTTGTAATGTCTTAATTAAGAAAAACATTTCAAACACATGATCACCAGTATCCGTCCCAAGGCACTGAAGGATGTGTGAAATGTGCCAGTGCAGCACCATAGATGAATAAGGTATTAAATTACCAGAAGCAGACAGGTGCAGAGAATGGCTCAGTAATATAGACATGACCTCAGATTGGAAATGTGATAAGTGTCTGTAGCAGGATAGTAGTGAACTACTGACTTACCAACAACACTTTGAATGATAAATCTATTGAAGGGGAGTTAAATAATGAGCTTATAGTTTCTTTTTGATGGAGAAAAATGATTATTTTTTCAATTGTACAAATGCTAAATAGATTTGTTTTCTTCTCACATACAGAGTACATGTCTGTGGATGACAAGGCATATTTCCTTGACTATTTTCGCAAGCTTTGCAGAACTGGCTTGTCTGAAAAAAGGAGTAAAGATGAAGCAATAAAGGTATCTAATAACAGTACTTGTTGTTGGTGACTTCAGTTTTCTCAGTAGCAAGTTCATATTATAAAAGTGTAAGGGTATTGTGATCTTCCTGTGACTAACTCAGTGCTGCAACTAATCTTTTTGTTTGGTCTTTACAGTTATTGGATGCTTTGGATATTTTTGAGACATCAACAGATGCAAGCACAGAGACCAGACAGAATGCAGCTTACAACTTCCCTGTGAGTACCTCAGTGTAGTAGCTTCTTACATTTGATATTCTTCAGCCTGCTGCTATACTTACTTAGTGGGCAGATTTGAACTCTTTTTACATCCTTTCTACTTTCACAGTGAATCATGGATACATTTTTACTTTTTCTATCTTCACAGTGAATCATGGATGCATTTTTACTTTTTCTATCTTCACAGTGAATAATGGATACATTTTTACTTTTTCTATCTTCACAGTGAATCATGGATACATTTTTACTTTTTCTATCTTCACAGTGAATCATGGATACATTTTTACTTTTTCTATCTTCACAGTGAATCATGGATACATTTTTACTTTTTCTATCTTCACAGTGAATCATGGATACATTTTTACTTTTTCTATCTTCACAGTGAATCATGGATACATTTTTACTTTTTCTATCTTCACAGTGAATCATGGATACATTTTTACCTTTTCTATCTTCACAGTGAATCATGGATACATTTTTACCTTTTCTATCTTCACAGTGAATCATGGATACATTTTTACTTTTTCTATCTTCACAGTGAATCATGGGTACATTTTTACCTTTTCTATCTTCACAGTGAATCATGGATATATTTTTACTTTTTATATCTTCACAGTGAACCAAATGTCGATTTTTAACCCTTACCATCCTCACAATGAATCAGTGACTGTAGTATGGCTTGAAGGTATAGCATTTGTCTGTAATTCAAAAGGCACTTGGTTCATATCCAGTTGTCCCCGTGTGGGTTCTGGGGCCCTATTGTGGGGAAAACAAGAATAGACCCACTGCCTACCCAAAAACATGTCATAAGAGTCAGCTAATTGGGAGCTTCCTTCAAAGTCGGATTGCCTCTGCCTTAGAGGCAAGGAACTAGCAGTTTGCATAAAAATGAGTCAGATCTGTAAAACGGATGCACACGCAGCACTTAGGTTCTGAAACACAATTGCAGTCCAGAAGTGGCTGGACAACCAGAACTTTCAGCCAGAGTTTACAGCTGGTGAACGTGAAGAAGAAGAAGATATCCAGTTGCAGGGAAGTTTTAAGTAAACTCACAGACATTTAACCTCTCTTCCTCCTGCTGATAATTGGGTGGTGAATCTGATGTCAAACATTTGTCAGATAAGATCAAGTGATCATGTTGCTCCTCAGCCCAGACTAAATGTTGAGATGAAATCATACCTATAAAAGAATGTTTGCGGTATGTGCTAGTCATAAATGTTATTCACTCTGAGGCTGTGACAGTCTTGAACTGTGCTGAGGTTCTCCTTGTGTGAATAAAGAAATGTTGATTGTACAGTCGTGTGACAGTTTTGGCAGTCAGGTCTCATAAAGTTGTTGAAGTTAACTTTCCCCCATTATTTGCATTGTAAAATAGTTAAGTAGACATTGTTTCATTGCTGACTCAACCACACTTTTTTCTCTAGGCAATGGTGCTGTTTACTGAACCCAAGTTATTCCGTTTAGAACTGTACCCTTGTTTCAGCCAGTTGTGTAAAGACCCCCATCTTGCTGTAAGGAAGACAGTAGCTATGGGCTTCCATGAGGTTAGTAATAGAAATATGTCTACAGTGGAACTGTTTTAAACATTTATAAGAATGTCAATATTTAATTGTGAGTAACATAAACTATGGTAACAGTATCCATCTCACTGCCAGTATGAGATATTTTTTATGGGTATGGTTTGTAGACCCATGTTTCCATGAGCAAATGACTGGAGTTTGAAATGGGGTCAGTTTCCTGCCAACTGCTCTGATTCTGAAACATTTTCTGATACCAGTATTGGGTCTGCATTAGCTCCAGGAACATGTTATGAAAATCCCACCTTAGTAGGGCTTTTAACTCATGGCTATAAGGATAAGAAATAATTACACTGTTCAGTTCACTACCATGGCACTTTGTTACTTAAGAATATATTAATTCCAGGATAAATTATTCATTGTATTCTTTAATTTAAACATGAAAAATCTAAATTTACACGTTATGTTTACATGTCATTGATCATATTTCTAAAGTAAACATAAACACAGCAGTAAATATTTGATGCAATTCTAGTAAAATTCAGTAACAATAGCGTCTGTATTGCTGATTTTATATTATCTTCTGATCATAAATATTTGAATATTGAGTATAAATGTGATCTTTCTGATTTTTATACAATACAGGTTGCCAAGGTCCTTGGGTCAAACGTTGGTCTTGTCTTTCCAGAGTTGAACTCCCTGTTAATGGACCCTGATATAGAGGTTAGTTTTCAAAAGCTTCTTTTTTTTTTTTTAAAGAATATTCAGTGATTCCCATTTTTGATGCATTTTCTTTATTTTCCTGTATTGTGCAAGTGCCAGTCTAAATTATTTATTTGTATTTTCAATTCTCCAAAAATGGGATAGCCACTACCAATGTTCTGTTTTGTCTTGGTTAAAATGTTTTATATCTTTTTTACATCCTCCTTTAAATGTCAGTATAGCATTATCTCCTCAGTGAAAGTTATCTGGGATGGATCTCTGTCTTTCTCTGGTTGAACACACTCTCAAATTCCTGTTCACTAATCTCTAAATATTATCCTCCCAATTGTATCACTGCCTTCCTTCCTCTAGCTCCAGTAAGATTTGTCTAAGAATACTGTGTCTTTATTTTGTGATAGTGAGTGAGTGGATGGGCTGGCATTAAGGTTGCATCAGAGCAGGCATTGTTTTCAGATGAGCACAGTGATGTCATATCTGTCTTTGATCTCTTGCTAGTGGATTAGATTCTTGGACAAGGGCAAAAAATAAGGCCTGTTTTCAGGTAAAAAAATCGGTCTGCATTTGGAATTCATAATGAGTTGTGTTGAGTCAAGAATTGACATCACAGCACTTGAGCCATTCCCATGCATGATCCGGAATTCATAATGAGTAAGCCAGGAGGATGCTGCTCTGGCTAAATTTGCCACTTATAAGATCTACTCTCAATAGGACCAACAGTAGTTTAGTAGTTAGTACACTTGGTTACCAACTTATTGGGTGCAGTTCAATCCGTAACGTATTGGGCAATTAGTTTGATGCAGCCTAATAAAACATGTAGTAATCGTCTAGTTTTCTTTTTTATGTCTGGTATGGAATGATGCTGAGTATGAGAACTGGACACCACACCTTTAGAATATGCCAATGTTTTCACACTTCCGTCTATCAAATGACTAATGGTTTCTACTCTTAGCAGAATGTTTCTGTTATATGTGGATTCTGGCACACACCAGTATTCTGTTTTGCACACACTGGGATTCTAGTACACTGCTACAAAGTTTGTGCACTGAGTTGACAAACTGCTCATGTTATCTTAAAGATAAGAACAATGTATGATTTCACCATGCAATAAAGGTGGTATTTATATCCAGATCAGATCAGATATTTGTGTACTCTGTTGATACATTGTTTTCTTTCCAGAGGTTGTATATATTTGTATCTGTTCATCTATCCTTTATTGCTGTTTTTTTTTTTTCTGCAATTATATTTAAACGAAATGCATCTTATTTGTTTCAGATTTTGAAAGCAGTAGTTCCCAATTTTAAAGAAATCATGTCACCTCTATCAGCCATTGGGGTTGACCAGTTTACAGAACATAGGGTAAGATAAAATAAACTTGTTTCTTTCTTGATAGTTGTCTTTGCTTGTACTTTGTCCTTGTGTAAGTTTTGACTCATTTACAGAATGTTTTTAGCTTAAATTAAGATAACCATGTAATCATTTATTAACTGTTAACATATTGGAACCATTGTGTATGCCAGAATAATAGTGACTCCATGTCTGTGTCCAGAGACACTTGATAAGCCAGAACATTATTGAGAAAGCAGTCGCAGCAATTTAGTGAAAGAGAATATACAATTTCAGTGCCAATGCAGTTTCTGAAAAGGTTTACCAGGTCAGAGTACTTGCCACCTGAATGCACCCTTTTCACCTATAAGGCTAGACTGAGAGACCCTCAAGGGGGAACTGCTGGTGTGCTCCACTGTGGGCATGACAAAAACAGATGGTTCTTGATCATGGTGATAATATATGATTGCACACATGGCTGCCTATGCTTATCGGCATGGTACTTGACAATGATTTTAATAATTACTATAAAGATAGTATATTTTGCCTTATTTCTTCTTTTCTGTTCTTCTGTTGCAGTGTTAAACTATTTTGACTCAAAAACTATTGCTCTAAAGTACACAACTGATAGTGTGCAGTTAACCACTGTAGGTTACTGAAAAATGTTAACAGTACATTCAACATCAAAAAAACAACACAACTCAAACTTTCAAACATTTACAGTTTACAAACGTGACTTGTGATCTACTTTCAGGTCCATGTGGTGCAAGAAGTGGTCAGCCACTTTCTTAAAACAGAGAGTATTATATTCAGTTCCCCTTGCTGGCGTACACAAGAGGCCATGATGAGATCAATGGAATCACTGTATCTTCTGTGCACTAATGATTATATTTACAACAAAGTTATACCATTACTTCTGGAGAAACTCAAAACTGGGGTATGCATTAATTTAATATTATTTTATCTGTCTGTGTTATTAAATGTAAGACATCAAAACATATTTAGTGCCTTCTTACAATTCTTGCTATTTTATTACCAATGGTATGTTTGAAGCAGTGATTATCACAACTCTCATTTAGGGCAGCATCAGATTTGTACAATGTTATATATTTGAATAACAAACATAGCCCCAGTATCTCCTGTGTTGTCTGTGGTACAGACTTTGGCCAGTTGTCACCAGGATTGAGAAATCATGTCACTGTGTAGAGAGATAGTTCTGAAGTGTCAGTCTTGGTCAGGTATGACTGAGCTATTGTATAACAGTAGCCGGTACTACCTGTCTTTTGTTGATGCTGAATGTAGGCAGTGTATACCAAACCTGACATCCCACATAATGTAACTGGCTTCGGTTGGATAAAAGTATACTGGGGAGAATACTAGCCTTATGCTAGGAAGAGGAAATGCAACATAAAAACTTTCTTGTCGCAGGACAGACCAGGCCCTAATCCTTGGTTGACAGCTTGTTTAGGAAGGAAGCTCTGACAGGTGGACAGATAAAGCACTGCTGTTCTTTTCCGGCAGCTTCTGCAGGGTGCTTTGTTCTAAAGGTACTGGTGTTACCTTTCATTTGGAGTAAACAAGGCAGGCCGAGAGTTGGATAATGATGCATGGGCAAAATAGTCTGTAATACTGCCCAGGCTTTGTGTTATGGAGGGGAGGAACTCGCCATTGCTATGTGTTGCTAGTCTCATAGTACAATATAACACTATCGCCTGGAAAGACAGAACAGTGCCAGACAGTCCTGATGTGTTTCTATCAGCATTATGCTATCACTGTCAGAAGTGGAGTTCTGGAACCCACACAGAACCCACCCAGAGAAATTTATCGTAGTATTTAAATATTCCCAAGTGTTCCCTTGCAGTTAATTTCTGTGCACTACTGTGATGACCAAAAGTTTAAGACCACCATAAATTATTATTTCCACACCCATTTGAAGTTTTGCATCAACTGATAATTTAGGGCAGATTGATAACTGCAAGGATTGCTTTCATTGGGTCTAAAATAGTGGATGCCATACTCGATAACAGTGTGGAAAGATGAGCTATTTACTAGGTGGTCTTGAACTTTTGCCAGCCACTATAGATTAAAAAAAAGTCATATTTGCCTTTTGACTGAACAAAAAAAACTTATAAACTGAAAAAGAAAACATGATGTGCCTACATTGTAAAATATTTTCCCAGTGTGGTTTCCGGGGCCCCATTTTGGGGAAAATAAGAATCGACCCACTGCCCTTCTAAAAAGCATATGATAAGAGGTGACCCATTAGTGTTGTTTCCTTTGAAGTCGGAGCACATCTACCTTTGAGGCAAGGAACCAACAGTATGAATACAAATTAGCCAGATCTGTAAAACGAATATGCATGCAAAACTCCTAGAACAAGAAAACAGGATAAACAATCAGAACCATCTGCAGGAGTTTACAACCGGTGAATGATAAGAAGAAGAAGACTCTCAAAACTGGATGACACACAGATAAATGAAGTGGTAATAATACAATCAGTTACCACAGTTTGGTGGATGGATTTAAAGCAGAAGTTGGAGCACCTATGGTCTTGTTTTGAGTGCATTTTGGACAATCCACTGACTACTAAAACCTGCTCTCACTGCTACTGCTGGGAATTGAACTCTGCACAAGTCTTTTAGTGAGCCAGTCTGTTAATGCTACTGAAGTTTTCTGCTTGTCTTACAGACAGCATGGCTATTGTTTTCCTACCTGTCTCACACAACTTTGCTTTTGTGTTGTTGAGCCATTCTACTAACACTAAATGGATTTTTACAAGAAATATTGCACTATCGAGGTTTCCTACTTGTCTTACAGAGAGCTCGACTAGTGAAAGTTGCAGCAGCTAAAACATTGACTGTTTTAACCCGGCACCTGAGGTACAGAGGACAGAGAGATGAGGTGGTCCAAACACTGATAGATGGTCAGTGTTTGTGTCATTAACATTTTTTTTCAATGTATCCTTTGGTTACTTTGTACAACAAAGAATTATAGGTGCTACCCATCTGTTATCTGTTCAGGGCTCCTTTATTTAAGTACTTTTATTTCATTGCTTTTTAATTCAGAAATTTTTTTAAAAGTTTTGTCATTCTACTTTGTTTTTGATTGTTGTGCTGTACTTGCCTGTCACTTATGAAATGTTATTTTAAAACATTTGTTTCATACACATTTTCACTAGAAAGCAAGATAATAAATTATCTTTGGAACTCTGCCCTGGCCACTGAAGATGAGAATGGGGCACACATGGGAATGCCCCGAGTGCTGTGATGTAAATTCTTGACTCGGCTCAACTCAACTTATTAAATATTATTATACTGTATTTTTTAAAAACTGACAGTCGTTATAACTGGTCCTCTTGTAATTGTTTTCCATCCAGCTGACTTCCTGTTTCTGATGAAATGCAGACTATGAAGTGTGGGATTCATTTTTGGGTGTATAAGATAATCGATTTGTCTCGTGTTGAGAAGTGTGTAACTCTTTGAGTGTCAAGCAGATGTGACATTAATTCCTTTTGTTCTAAGAAGTTGTTAAATGAAGTAAGAAATGACTGGGGCTGGGGAGGTAAAATATTGACACCATAAGGTGAAGGAATTTAAGAGATGGGGCATGGTGGGTTAAAGTAACAGCATCATGAATGCATCTTCACAAGAGCTTGAAGGGAAGTAGACTATGTCAAATTAGGTCAACAAATGCAGCCAGAGTTGCTTGATACTAAATAAGTTAAGTTCTTCTACCACAGTGTCGCTAGTTGCCATTATGAGCTGTCACACACGTTTTCACTAGAAAGCAAGATAATCAATTCTCTTTGGCTTTCAATTGGAGAAATGCTAGTAACATCATTTTGGTTTACAACAGAGTTTCACAGAAGTGACAGTTGCTTTCGGCGCAGCCTCTTCATTGACCTGGCTTTCTGTTATCTACAAATCAACTCCAAGCAAGCTTTCAAGGATAACTTTTTTGACTACATTTTAAACATGAAATCAGATCGAGTGGCTACTGTCAGATTGAAAATGTTGACCATTTTTCCTGAGATGAAACGGAGTCTCAAGTTGCCACGAGATCAAACACTACGTACAGCCCTGGACACTGTACTGAGGCAGATCATTGTGTATGACAAGGACACAGATGTGCAGCGTGCTGCTCAGCAGGCAAGTGCAGTTGAAATAAATGCTAGAATTAGTTCTCTGGATGTTTTAACACTTTTGTTTTTTGTTAACATTGTCTGTGTCATGAATGCATCTTACTGATTTGCCTTGTTATGCCGTTTTTTTCTATGAGCTTTTAGGCAGTTGAAAGTATAATTTTATGTGTATTATTCTTTGTTTTACTTTCTCAGGTTTTCACAATAGAGTTACACGTTGTTGTGATTGAAAGCAATACACTTGTATGTACTTTTATAACTCTTCAGAATCAGGGCATTGAGTTAAACTGTATGCGCCCTTTCTAACTCTTTCGTGTCTACAGACATCTAAATTGCTGCTTAATCCAAGTGTTTCATCAAGTAATTTTTGTACATTTGTGCCCATTCTGTCAGCTGGTCTCTTTTATCATTTCCTACATCTGTCCATATTCTCTGATTGTATTTCGATATTTACTGTCCCCAACTGCAGTTTAACCAACCATGAAATACAGCAGGTGACTGCAGTTTAACCATCCATGAAATACATCAGGTGACTAAGGAGTGTGGTTCTGGGTCTGACTGCTCCATTGTGTTGAAAACTTTAGCGGCAACATCCAGCCACCAGCAAACATATTTCAAGAAAAGAAAGTGAAATAACTTTGCTGACTAAGATGAAAGGAGGCCCTTATCCCTGTAGAAGTATGACACTGGATAATGCCATATAAAGTCAGGATCACCAACTTAACTTTCTTTCTTTGTTCTTCTTATTGTCCGTGTCATGAGGCATTGATCATTATGTATGTCCATAGCCCTTTGCCTCATGTACCGCCAATAATGATGCAGTATTTTTCTGTCCATTGTTTTAGTCACTATTACTTCTGTTTTTCTGCTGTGCATGCTAAGATTGTTATTTTGACTTTCTGTTCATTTTATATATATATCATAGAAAAATTTCAAGAATTGGTACCTGAAATGATAAAAGTGTGTATGAATTAAGAAGGACAGCACAGGTGGTAGGAGAGATAAAATATTATAAGAACATTTTGGGATTGTGGGAAACATCGAATGGAGCAGGCTAGAAAAGTCTGAACACAGGTGAAACAATTTTTTTTGTACATGTCATTTAGTGGAAATTTCCCTGACAGGAAATCTGGGTAAAGATTTGACATTAAAGCTCTTTCTATTAGCTCTTTCTATCTCTTTAACAGTCATAGAAGAGTCTCCATACGGGTTGTAGTGTTTGTCGTCTGGATGACTACTTATCTTGCCTTTCCTCTGAGTCTTGAGTGACACCCAAAGCCCGCAGACACTCCCTATTGTGTCGTTATTTCCCAGAACTGGTTTTCAGTGTTTTCCATTTCACTTGTTACCTTGTCCCACAGGTGAGAGATTACCTCTGCCTTCTGTAGTTGTAGTACACTCCCAGTAAAGCTGGTCCAGCAAAACTATCTGCATGCTCATTCCCAAACACACCCACCTGACCTGAGCAAAATATCAATGTTACTCTCACTAGCTGTGAACTCTGCATTGATGTGACCCATTCCATATGAATAAAACCTGACTCTACCTTCTTCTGCTTTCTCCGTGAATGCAACTCTATGACAGCATCTCTGGCTGAGATTTTCTCCACTCATCAGAATGCTGTAGTTACTGCCTCACCTCCATTCTTATGCTGGATGTGGTAATGTATGCCAAACTCTTCTCAGTCATCCTTCTCTGTGGTAATTTTTGCAGTGAAGCCAGATCCTCTCTTTCTGTCACTGGCCACCTACTCATCAATCAGTGCATACAGTGCAAACTGCTTAACTTTTGTGCAGCCATTGTTGCCACTGTGCTAAGCAAGTTCCCTGCTGATTCTTTCTCCTGTGCTAAATACTTTTCTATCCTCCAAACGCAAAAGATGCATCGGCGGTGCAGACTATATTTTTGTGTACATCTAACAATATTCACCCTAGGGAAGTTGTGATTGGCTGAGTGCTGACAAGTCATATGCACTGTGATAACAGAAAGAAAATACTAGAAACTAGGTTTAATTTCTCAGCTTCACTAGGGAAAGTGAAAGAACATGTATCCTCTGCTAAGTCTACATCATCTTTGTCTCCACTGCTGCCAGTATGTAGCAGAAACTCCATGTATATCTCTCTGACAGCTCTGTGGATACTTCTACTTTTATCATAAACATATTGTTGTTTTAATTCCTTCTTATAAACCGGATGGTTACAAATAGAACCATGCAATCACACCCCCCCCCTCCCCCCCCCCAAAAAAAAATGTTTTTATGCCAATAGCTGTGAGGGCCAAGAAATTGGATAATGCACAGATGTACGTAGCAGTCTATGGGCAAATGGCAAAATATGCCCATATCAGTGACATGGTTAAGATGTAGTGAATTTCTGTTTGGAAGAACAATCTGTTTATCCCTGGTAAAAGCAACCATTTCTTGGATCCCCAGTTAGTTTTTGGTCTGTTTTGTAAAACCAAAGTTCTACTCTATCAGCTATTGAACTTCTGCATCTGCTTGTCCTGTCACTCATTTCCTGCATTCCTGTCCGAAGGTAATTCCCTGACAGTGAATGAGTGGCTTTAATGCCAAGAAAGTAGAGAATACGCTACTAGTGTGTTAAGTAACCAGACCACAAAATCGTCAAATCAGATTGATCATATCTGCATTAACAATACATTTGGATCATCAGTATTTGATGTAAATATTTTTAGTTACAAGTGGAGAACTGAGGTAATCAGGATAGGCAGGAAACATAATACCATGAAGGTCTATATTAACGGTACTACAGTCAAACAAGTATGAGTATTCCAATATCTAGGAAGCATATTTACAGAGGATGGCAGACTCGATAGAGAGATAGAAGCTAGAGTACAGAAGGAAAATGCTGTCACCTTCACCTAAATGTCTCCCTTCTTTATCCCTACTTTATGTTATCAGTGCCAAACATGGACAATAAATAGGGCACTAGAAGGTCATTACTAACACTAGACAAGACGGGATTATAAAAACCAGCATTAGAGAGAAAGTTGGAATAAGACTGTCTGGATTATATTAACAAAGAATGAAATGGTTTGGCCATCTAGTGAGAATACAGCCAGACCAGACTGCATATCAGACTTTTTACAGTAGAACATTTGTGAGTAAGGCGAGAGGAGGACCAAGAAAGAGATACATAAATGATGTACTTGAAACCTGCAAAAAGATTAACAAATCCATCACTCAAGCCACCTGAGAAGTGCAAGACAAATACAGAAAACTACGACACTGGGCTACAACCTGGTATCAGTGAGACGACAAAAGAAGAAGACAGATGGAGATTTAGATCATCTGCTAATAAGTTAAATTGAGTTGACACTCAAGAGATGCATAGCATAAACATAGAAAGCACTTAATTTAGGCTATGCCAAACCAAGAAACTAAGTAGCAGTTTGCATCAACAGTTAAATGAGCTGAGAAATGAAGACTGCTGGCAGCAGGTTACAAGTGTTTGAAATGAATCATAGAAGGAGACCTTAGAAACTTGGACACTCTTGGAGCAAATGATTAGCAATTAGTCTCAGCAGTTACATTCAGAGTACATGACTCTATCATTAACTCTTTTGGTCCCTGTAGCATTTGCACACAGATCTTTCATTTTCTGATTCAATGGTTCCATTAAAACAAACTTATTCACTGCTGTGTTGTCAGAATGTAAAATAAATTGAAGTTGCCACTGGGGTACCAGATCTGTTTTATGTCATAATCAAAACTTAAGAGTAAGAAAGTATCAGAAAGCATTTGATGTGATGTTTGGGACACGTCAGAAATAGCCAGTAACGCATCATGCATTGCTTGGGACTGGGAGAAAGTTACAACTATAATAGTCTGTACTAAATTTTCTCTCATTGAAAAATATTCATTATGCTTTTCTGCTAGGGAGAGAAAGGTTCAGATTTATGACAGCAGGAAAGAAAGATAATTTTGCAAAAGAAGTTCACTGTGTCATCACAAAAGAATAATTGTTTTCTTCTTCCTGTAGATGTCAGAAGAACTTGCTATGATCCATGAGGGCAGTGATAACACTGTAAGTACACTTTCCATTTGTGCCATTTAATCACTGTGTTTGTTTCATTAAATGATTTCTATTGCATTTTTAATGAATGGTTTTTAAATAGCATTTGTTTCAGTTGATGGCTCTTTATTACATTTATTTTATTGTTTCATTAAATATGTATCTATTGTGCGGGTGTCATTAACTCTTTAACATAATGTCTGATTGATTATTCACTTGAATCCCAATCATCATGTTGTGTGTTCTGTTTTTTGTTTTTTAATTTTCCTTTAGTATAGTAAAGAAATTAAGCTTTTATTATGGCCACTTGCTCTCTTTGTGATTTACCATAGGGGTTTGTACACATCTTCTGTGAAATCTTCTAGTACTGAAAGGATGATGAGGTTTTTATTTATACTCTACAGTAGACACGGTACATAGATTTGATCAGAAAATTCTCAGTGTGTGAAAGTGAAGTGTCATTTTAAGCACATTCTAAGTTTTTAATTGCTTCTGGACAAATTCTTAAATTCTGTTGTCTTTCTAAATCATCCATTTGACAGAGATCCAACAGAAGGATTTTAACAGAAGAAGAGGAAGAGGATCTAAAGAGGGAAAATGAAGAAAGAGATATTTTTGTCAAGGTAAGAGGATGACTAAAGTCTATTCTAACTATCAAAATAGGATGTGTAAACAGACATTCTAACTATCAAAATAGGATGTGTAAACAGACATTCTAACTATCAAAATAGGATGTGTAAACAGACATTCTAACTATCAAAATAGGATGTGTAAACAGACATTCTAACTATCAAAATAGGATGTGTAAACAGACATTCTAACTATCAAAATAGGATGTGTAAACAGATATTCTAACTATCAAAATAGGATGTTCACACTGAGAAAACAGGAGAACAGCATTACTAGAATGTCTTTGCATTGGAACCCACAGGGGCATAGGAATAAAGGAAGGCCAAAAAACACATGGAGAAGAGAGCTGGAGAACGAGGTTAGAAAGATTGGGAGGACATGGGGAGAGCTCTATGCAATGGCGAAGGATAGAACGACTTGGCGTGAGTTGGTTGAGGGCCTATGCTCCATTGGGGGATAGAAAGGCAGAAGAAGAAGAAGAAACAGACATGTACAGTAAACTGCTTTAGTATTTTTTTTCCATCTCAGAAAATCACAGCAGCTTTTCATCTGAGGCAGTAACAACAGTAACAGAATCACTAGTCTAGTATTACTTTCACAGGAGCCACAATAATACACTTTGTAAATCACATTGTTATCAGATTTCTGTGAAATGCTCTGACTAGACATAAGCATGATTACAAGCGACACATTGATTAGTACATGTGAAGTATAATTAATCACACACGGTAATGTGATGTACATGTTAAGTCCACAGACAAACTGGCTGCCACCCAAAAATAACAATAAATGATGAAGAATTTGAAAATGTCACAAACTTTATCTAGGCTCCATAATAAATAGCATTTAAGACTGTTTGACAGAAATCAAAAGGAAGATGGCAAAAGCAATGCAAAGATTAAACAGCATTAAAGTCTATGGTTAAGCACCAGCAAGGAAATCAAAATTAAAATTTTGAGTGTGTGCAACTTCCCTTCAGCAACATACGGCTATGAGTCGTGGACTATCTTTCAGTCCTTAACCCTTTCGCTGCTGCGCCCTCCGCCAGCCAACGTAACCACTGTGCTAAGCCAGGCGAGAGCTAATCTTTCCCCCTGTGCTGAATACCATTGTTTCCTTCAAAAGCAGAAGACGCGCTTGCGGCACGGGGTAAAAATTGTACACCTAAAATAAAAAAATCGTTGAAGGCGTGTGGTTGAACTTTGCGCTGACAAGTCAGACGCACTATTACTATGCCGTGAAAACTCATTAACAAAAAGAAAACACTACAAACTTACAAAGCAAACACAAAACACTTTAGTAAGCAAATACATGGTTTTTATTATTATTAATCATATCTTTGTGTGTGAAATATTTCAAAACAAGGTGCGACACACAATGCCAAATCACATTCCTTGCACATGTATCTGGTTTTCCGTCGTTTTTTTGCTTTTTGCGCATACCACACACTTTCTGGTTGGGAATTTTTTCTGCGATGTTACGGACTCTATTATTGAAAGAAATGCCTTTGTACTAAACGAAGTGGCAGATCTTCACTTTTTTGTCCTCCTACACTTTTTCTCTTTTCCTTGCAATATTTATGTAGAATTTCTCTTACTAACATTAAGTGAAATTCGGCAACAGGTGTGTTTTTCCCCACAACAACTTTATATAATGAATGTGCACAGTACACCAACCACGCTTCACATAACGTGTAAAGCATCTAAATCCACCTGAACGCACGTGACAGGATGTTTAATTAATTATTACTTTGGTTATCTGTTGCCGAAAATGCTAACAGCTTAAATTTAAAATTTGCATTTAAAATAATTAATTTAAAAAAAAAAAAAACGGCACGTAGGGGTTGAACGCTGGACCTTTAGACTGTAAGGCAGACGTGATACGAACTACACTAGAAATTCACATGAAACTATGAACTGAAAAAAAACCAGTATTGTACACTTTAATAGACAAACACATTTATGTCAGTTGTATAGTATATAATTAACATTAATATTAATCATCACGTCAGTACGTGACCATATCTTTTTTTTTGGATTATTTTGGATCCGTTTCAAATCCAGTCGATGTAGATAGCTAGGTCATATGGTCACTGGTCAGTCTTGTTCACAGCCAGAAGTACACGTGTCCGCCGGCATGCCGCGAAGATAACCCAGCTCATATAACTCACACGTTTCAAAGTGATCCTTACTACTACTCCTTGAAAGAAACTCCATTAATTCTTCTTTATTTAAACAAATGTTCTTGTTATTTTGTATTTAAAAAAAAAAAATTTAGACTAACGCAAAACCAGAAATATATTTCAGGGCAAAAAAATTACCGATCACCGACAATGCTTCTATGGTAACAAAGAAACAGGATAACGTGAAATGCATCTAAATACGCTTAAACTCACTTGATAAGGGTTTTAATTGTATGTAAACGGGTCAGTTTGATCAGATTAAGTTAATGTGTATTGCTATTTCACCCCTAAGAATTACTGTCTGTAAAAAAAATGTCCAGGACGAGATATCTCGTCCTTAGCAGTGAGGGCACAGAAAATGGCAGCCGAGTAAGCTCGTCTTTAGCAGTCTGCCGGGCAGACGAGTTATCTCGTCCATAGCAGCGAAAGGGTTAAGAAAGGAAAAATGGGCTTTTGAACTGAAATGCTATAGACAGAGTCTCAGAACATTGTGGACAAAGAAGAGAAGAGATACTGACATTTTTAAAGCTCTGAACATCAGGGAATAATAGCTAATAAACAGCATCTTGTCTCGGAAGCTGAAATATTTTGGCTGTATTTCTGTGCCACGGCGGATTGTTGGAAAAAATAAAAGCAGAAGGCATTGTACCGAGACGGAGGGGCAGGGGCCGACCAGTATGAAGATGGGCACAGGATATAAGTGACTCCTTGAATTCAAAGTTGCATGAAGTGGGAGAGCTGGCGAGAAACCGAGTTTCTTTCAGGTAGACTGTGATGAGAGTGACGTTCTGCAAAGGACCTGCTACATGATGATGTTGTGAAGTTTAGCTAAATTTCCATCTTCATGATGTATCTACTAGACTCACACTGTTTTAACCACAAGGAATTTGATGTATGGTGGCCTTTATAATGTTGACCACCCTTTCCTTGCAGTTTGTTCATATCCATTTGTGGAAGAAAGGACAGCCCTGTGACCCTTGGAAGAAAGGACAGCCCTGTGACCCCCAAGCCCATTAACTCTGCATTTTCCCAGATACCACATATTTTAGTGTACACTGAACATTCCATATCTTCACAAATATCTAACATATATTTATATATATTCTTTTATTTTGCTTTTTTGCACCAAATTGAATGGAGAACAAATTTCTAGAATTAAAAATTGCATCATCTTGTACATCATAATCGTATGGCTGTACATTGGTACAGATAAGGCAACTAAAAATTCTTCTGTCTGACACTAATAAATGTGCATCGGGGGAATTACACCCCAGTAAACGTTTAGGATTGCATTGTGAAACAATTTTAACTAAACTCTCAGCCACACAGCTAAAATCTACATAATCTTCACTAACCGACTTATCTGACAGTGCACACATAAAGCACATACATGAAACAGTTAACACGAATAATACATACCCTTCTCTGCCATGCCACGACTGTAAGTGAAGTGTCGTCTTCCAGAGTGTTTCACAAATTTTTCTTAGTCGCGGCACCTTTTTTCAATTGAAATCTTTCCACGGTGCCCTATCCTAAGTATTTGTATGTAAGGGATAAAAAAAAAACTTGTGTATCTCTGAATATATTACAGCGCCCCTGTGAAGAGGTCGCAGTTCCACGAGGCGCCGCGGCAAACAGTTTGGGAATCACCGCCATAGCCTAAGAAAAATTCTCTAAACCATTCCACCATTTGTTCTAACCATTATTAAAACATCTGCCTAATGTGTCATCAAATTGGATCTCACCAAAAGTTTGTGGAAAATGTAATTCTAGCACTACCGAATTGTTTCCCTTAGGAAAAGATAGCGAAATAAATGGGCTAATGGATTCAACTACATTTATCACAAGAAATCACAATTTAAACATTGTGGCAGCATCCAAAGTAACCATCTGCCAGTCGCATAACCTCGGATCATAGTAGTCAGTTGGTCATATCCATTTGTGGAAGATAGCACAGCTCTTAGACCATGCGTTTATGAGAAAAAAATATCCCACTGGACCGCTAGGCTAGCAAGTAATAGCACTTATCACTGTACAGTCACAGCTGTTAAATATCCTTAGGTTACAACACAAATAATTGCATAACAGCACAAATAGTTTCTAATATCAACTTCTGTGTCTTTGTTAGTGTTATTACCTGAAACTTTCTTAACAGCTAAGAGATCGGGACATGAAAAGACTTTTCCTGCTTTCATAGTGCAACCAGTAATTGTGCTGAGGGCCATATCTGCTGATGTTTGAAACTTCCCTTTGCTCTGTAATCAAATTCATAATAAAAAGCATGAGATGCTGAATAGCAGAAGTCTGGGGTTCTTCACAGCCAGAACTAGTACATGCCCTGAGAATATTTGCAAACACGGTTTCTTTAACAGTAACATGTTTCTGTGATCCAGTTTGCAGGCACAGGTCCACTGTTGTACATAGATAACAAGTCAGTCTATATATGTAGAGACAGGGGGAGGGGGAGGGAGAAGATATATGTTAATATACTCATATACTCTTTCATATATACACACAGATGGAAAGACACATGGATATGAGTATAGAGAGGGGGAAATAGAGGACATACAGAAATAAAGGCAGAGAAAATCAGGTTGATTAAGGAATGAAAGATAATAGGCAGGCAGTGCAAGGGCAAATTGATAGACAGTACAGAAAGATGGAGAGAAAAACTGTTGATCCGGTTTTCTAGATTTGTTAATTTTCAAGACCCAGCCATAAAATAAAATAAAAATGTAAAAAAAATTGTAAATAAGCAACTCCTTAACAAGTAACTAGAAAATATAATCTACATTTTAAAAAGAAATTGATGGTAATGACCTGCAAATGTCCATCTCACCTAAAGGAGCAAGCAGTCAACACCACCATTTTATACTTCCTGGTGTGGATAAAGAGCCCATCACTAGTTAAATATTTCCCAGATTTGCTGACTGCATCATAGTTAGTTCAGTTCTGAAGCTGTACAGGTTATTTTGTGGCTTTCAGGAAGACCAGGACAGAAAAGAAGATGAATCAAAAGCCATAAAGGACAAGAGAAACTCTATCAGTGGCAACAAGAAAGATGCTCAATCAAAGATTCCAAGCAGCAAGAAAACAGGTAATACCTCAGTTTGTCTCCACTGCCTCACATAGTTACTCTACTGTCTTGTAGTGTCTGCCGTCCTGGGAGTCTGTCTGTCTGCTTGTATTTCTAGCTGAATTTCTAGCCTATCATTTTATGCTAAGCTGCTTGTTGTTTACTTTTCTGTTTGTGAGCGAGACAGATTTCTTTAAAATATATCTTCTAGTTTAAGATGCTTACATTTCAAATTGCTTTTCATACTTATGTTTATATCCTTATATTTCTCAAATGACACTTTAAAATTAAGTCATTTCACATCTCATCTAATTTACAAATAATGTAAAAAAAAAAAAAAATGTGGAGGGCCCTTTTGTACATGTTGTATGACAACGTATAATTATGTTGCGACATGGCAAGTCAGATCATAGACAAGTACAGAATATTTGTAAATGCCACTGCAGTATAAATATAGCTATATCTGTAAACCACTTTCTGCGAGCGGTAGCTAGTGGGTATGATTAGTAAATGTTTGCTTCTGCATTCTTTTGTTTGTAGAGTTTTCTCCATTTAGTGGTAGAACTCTTTAGTTTCTGTCAGGTGTTTTAATCCTCAGCATGCTGCAAACCTTGTAAGGTAACTGTGTTCAAAAGTATTGCTTGACCTTTAAGCAGTGCTGTGTTTAGGATGTATGATGTCTCTACACCTCTTCCCTTAGCTACTTTGTTTACTTCACTGTTCTTAGTTTCAACTGTACTATTTAAACATCTATGATGAGCACTCCAAAATTGATTAGTCATTCTTGGTTTTGTGCATGGATGCATTTTTCAGATTAAATAGCATGAAGAACCTATGGCAAAGCACTAGTAAATTAGTACAAGTAAAAATCTTGAGCATGCATTTTTCCTGTGGCAACTTACGGTTGTGAGTCTTGGAATCTCACTCAGTCACTAAGGAAAAAGATTGGAGCTTTTGAATTTTAAACGTTCTAGAAAAATTCTAAGAATACCATGTATCAGGAAGAGGAAAAACATCGACATTCTGAATGAGTTGAACATCAAGAAGAACTGACTTATAAACAGCATCCTGTCCTGAAAGTTGAAGTATTTTGGCTACATCAAGTGTCATGGTGGCTTGGAAAAGACGGTGATGGAAGGTGTAGTTTGTGGAAGGCGAGGCTGGGGTCGACCACTACGAAGATGGATACAAGACATTGATGCATTGGCATTAAAAGCACATGGGGCTGGAGAGCTGGCTAGAGAAAGGGATACTTTACGGTGTGCCCTGAAGAGAGCTAAGTTCTCTAAAGGACTTGCTGATTGATGATGATGAGTTGACAGCAGTGGTCCTGAAATCCGATTCTGTCATTGTGGAAGACTTTTCTTGACACAGGTGGGTCTTGCTAATCACACTTGCCATCGCCAAAGGAAGTGAGTCCTATGCCTCCTCATAGTGCAATATAACCTTATCATCTGGAAATGCGGAAAGGTGACAATCAGATAAATTTTACTTGCTGGATGATGTGCTTTGCTTTTTGGAGGACATTTTTTATCTTAGCCATAATAAAATCAGTTTATTTAATGTTGCACAGTTTATGATTGGATTCTGCACTTAGAAGTGTCCACTGTAGTTGTACAGTGAAATTAAAGCTGCTGTATTAATTTCATTGTAAAATTCTTCACCAGTAACACAGCATATGATGATAATAATTAACTCTTCACCCCTAACATAAACTATGATAATAATAAACAAATTCTTCACCCAACACAGACTTGGATAATAAATAAATTCTTACCTATCACAGAATATGAAGATAATTAACAAATTCTTCTTCTAACAATTGGAAAAATAAATAAATTTTTCACCTATCACAGAATATGGGGATAAGGAACAAATTCTTCAGTTAACGCAGACTATTGGAATAATAAATAATTTCTTTATCTAACAAAATATGGGGAATAATGACAAAAATTGTTCACCTGTCACAGACTATAGAGATAATAAACAAATTCTTCACTTAACACCGACTATTGGAATAATTAAAAAAATTTCTTCACCGAACACAGGATATGAGCATAATGAACAAATTCTTCACCTCTAACAAATAAGAAACAAATTTTCACCACAGACACAGACTACAACAATAATAAACACATTCTTCACCCCCCCCCCTGACATAAACTATTGTAACACAGATGTGTGATATCTAAGTTACTAATCAGCACATTTCCAAGTGTCTATAGATATAACTTTCGCTCCCACACTCTCCAAGTAGGACTCGACAGTATCTCTGTCATAGTTTATTTGACAGGTTACAAGACACAACTGCAGAGACATAGACATTGATCCTAATTGGCATTCGCACCTAGTCTGTATAGTTAGTTCTCACTCTCTCTCAACTTGTAGGGCGAACTCTCCTATCCACTGAACCTTGATATTACTTCAGCAGACAATCACGGCTGACTGGAGACGGACTTCACTTGCCCGTTCTCCAAAGCACACAGCACATCAGCGTTATTTCCGCAGACAACAACGGCTGACTGGAGTCGGACCTCCCTTGCCCGTTCTTTAAAGCACACAGCACGTCAGCCTGTCGAAGCATTCCGATGACCGACAGGACTTCTAACACAAGTCCCCTCTAGCACACAGCTCTCGTCGGCATCCCTACTGTTCTGTTTCTGTGGTGACCCTACGTCTCCTTGCGCCGTCACCCAGAACATTGGAGCATCCAGTCCGCTTAGACTTACTTCGCCAGCGGGATTATACCTCTGACCAGTACCGCAACCACAATCCTTACTCAGACCTTGATGCCTGATAGTTGCACGGTACTTTGTCTCACTTGAGAGATACTGTCCGACCCTGACGTGGTCTCTCTCTGTCTGTCTGTCTTGGACTGACTGACTCGGACTGACTAAGCAGCTCTAATATATCTCTGTGGAACCCATGTTGGCGCCTGATGTTACATGATAGGCATGCTCACGTGGGAGTTCTCGAGACTCCAGCTCATGCAGGTGTTCTCGAGAATCACGCTTATGTGGGTGACTGATGTTATATGAGAATCACACAGTCACGTAATTCAGACTTTCTTTCTGCGTCTCGTTAGCCATGCTTGTCAGCCCCCACACAGTGAACCCCCTGCATCTACTTCCACGTGCGTGCATGCCTCGTTCGTGATAATACATTCTCACTGTCAAATTCTTTCCCCCTCACTACTCGGGCCAATGTTGACAGTATTTCCATTGAACTCCCGGAAAGTACTATTATACCACTCTGTCCGTTCACACACTATTACACTCTCCCAAATCAGCACGCAACAACAGACTAGTTATAATGAACAAAATCTTCACTTCTGACCTAGACTATGGTAATAACGAACAAATTCTTCACCTCTGAAACAGGTTATGATGATAATGAACATATTTTTCATCTAACACAGAGTGTAATGATCAAATTCCTGACCTCTAACAATTGTGATAACGAAAAAACTCTTACTTTTACCCCCCCCCCCCCCCCCATTTATAGTTATCACAGACATATTCCTCACCTCTAATACAGATAGGGTGATAAACACATTTTTCACCTCTAACACAGACAATAGTGGTAATGAACAAATATACAAACAAATTCATAATTTCTAACATAGACTTTAGTAATCACTTGTTCACCTCTAACTCAAACTATAGTGGTAAACAAATTCTTCACCTCTAACACAGACTATGGTGGTTATGAACAAATTCTTCACTGCAACAAAGACTATAGTAGTACTGAACAAATTCTTTACTGCCACACAGACTATGGTGGTAATGAACTAATTCTTCACTGCTACACAGACTATGGTGGTTATGAACAAATTCTTCACTGCTACACAGACTATGGTAGTAATGAACAAATTCTTTACTGCTACACAGACTATGGTGGTTATGAACAAATTCTTCACTGCTACACAGACTATGGTGGTTATGAACAAATTCTTTATAGCTCCACAGACTATGGTAGTAATGAACAAATTATTTACTGCAACACAGACTATGGTGGTTATGAACAAATTCTTCACTGCTACACAGACTATGGTAGTAATGAACAAATTCTTCACTGCTACACAGACTATGGTGGATATTAACAGATTCCTCACTGCTACACAGACTATGGTGGATATGAACAAATTCTTCACTGCTACACAGACTATGGTGGATATGAACAAATTCTTCACTGCTACACAGACTATGGTGATGAACAGATTCTTAACTGCTACACAGACTATGGTGGTAATGAACAAATTCTTCACTGCTACACAGACTATGGTAGTAATGAACAAATTCTTCACTGCTACACAGACTATGGTGGATATGAACAGATTCCTCACTGCTACACAGACTATGGTGGATATGAACAGATTCCTCACTGCTACACAGACTATGGTGGATATGAACACATTCTTCATTGCTACACAGACTATGGTGGATATGAACAAATTCTTCACTGCTACACAGACTATGGTGGATATGAACAAATTCTTCACTGCTACACAGACTATGGTGATGAACAGATTCTTAACTGCTACACAGACTATGGTGATGAACAGATTCTTAACTGCTACACAGACTATGGTGATGAACAGATTCTTAACTGCTACACAGACTATGGTGGTAATGAACAAATTCTTCATTTGCCACACAGGTTCTGGCCCACTGAAAGTGCTCCCTGGTGGAGGCTCAAAAGGTGATGGTCTACATCAGCTAGTGACTAAGAAAACATCAGTGTCCTCTGTCACACCTGTCAGTGTTACCAACAAAGGTATGTTTTAGACATAAATCTTGCATTTCTCTTTATTTAACTGTCGCTTTGTTGGCTTCAAAATCTGGTAATTATTTATTTGCTGCAATCTACCCAGTGGTACTCTGATTGCATTTGTTTTAGATTAAACATTCAGTGTCTCTGCTTTCAACTCCATTCTTCTTTATTGTTCTTCTTGTCCGTGACATGAGGTGTTGATCCTAACAGCTGTCCAGTCTTCTGTCACATTTACTGCCCCAGTCATATATGATAAAGATATAACTCTGTGTCATGTCATACCTTAACATCATTTCTCTGGGGCTCCCCTGCCTCTCTTCTCGGAGGCCTGATTATTTAACTTCTTTTGAAATCTCTTGTTGTATAAAAGATAGTTTCCTGATAACAATTAACTCTATCATGTGGATTTTGTTTTTAATTTCTGTAAATTTTTTTGAATAAATTGTTTTGAATGTAATATAGAGCATATAGAATGTAATATATAGCAGTGTTCCACAACCTTTTTATGCCCACAGACCATCAAAACAAGGTCACTTCACAGCTCATCTGACAACTAATCAATCATGGACACAAAATAAAATGTAGATAGCAGTAATCTGGTTATATTCAATGTTACAAAATTACAGTTTTCAGCAAATGTGACTTCTGCTGCTGCTCATAGGTTAGACAATCTATACCGTTAGAACAGAGTTTCAGGGTTTGTACCTGCCTTATTTTCATCCTTTGATGTGTTAATCCTACAGACCGCAGTCTGTGAAGACAAAAACTACCTATCCTACTCCGTTCCATAATTAGAACATTTCATGACGCGCCTGAACTTGTCTATGGCCCACTTGTGGACTGCAGCCACTGGTTGATAAACACAGATATAGAAGAGCATATAGAGTGTAAAGATCTGGTTTATACAAGGTCCATGACAAACTCAGGTGTGGAACAAATACTGTAACACTGTAATAAGAATGAAAACAAAAGCTAACACAAAGTATGAAACATACACCTGTTAATTGTTTTAATTATAATTCAGTATAATAACTGTGTGTGTGATGGACAATATGGCTGACTATTTTTTTTTAAATCTGCACTTTCATAAAAACAAACAGCTCTGAAACTGTCTATAGTGTTCATACATATTGATGTTAGCAGAACTGTTTGAGCAGTGGGTTTCCTTGCAAATATTAACAGCAAAACTTTACTGGTTTTTCTTTGACTGTTTGAAATGTTTGAAATATGTCATTTTTGTCATGCTCTTATAAAATGGATAAATATCCAGTTTTAGCCATTTAACATTCAAGATTTTAAAATCTGAATCTGATTACATTGCTCATCTTATGCCTCAAGGATGTGTCATTCTTACATTTGATTGCTGTACCTTATGTAACAATAATAATGTCTGTTCAAGGGTGTCATGTAGCATCTGTCAGTTATGTAACAGTTAAAGCTGATGTAATTCCTGCGGAGCATAAATGTTTCAGTTGATCATGTTTATTCGCTCAGAGTTGACACCGGAAACATCTCCAAAGAAAGAATCTGTGCGACGAATACCAGTTCTCACTAATAAAACAGGTTTGATCAGATGCTTGCCTTGTTAGGCATGCTGGATGTAGGCAGCAGTTGCATGATTGTTGTGGTGACAGCCCTTGCTCAGTTTTTGAACAGCTCAGAAACTGCACGCACATTTAATTCAATTTGAGGAAACGTTTGACTTGTGAGAGCAGCTACTACCCCTTGTTGTGTGTTATGGGAGCTTTTTTGTGTTACTAGGATGCATATTTATATGCATTTAAAATATATTTTATAGGTGGCATGTGATATGTTTATGTATGCAGATTATCACTGATGCATGCCTATACTGTGTATTGTGGAGTTTCACATTTTACTAGTTATTCTGTTTTTTTTTTTTTTATGGAGAAAAAAACTGAATAATCTCATGGATTTACATTACGCCTCATCTCTTGGCTTACTTTTAAAAAAAAAAATCCATTATCAACAATTAATATCTTAAGGTATCATTTATGTTTGCTACGTAGTAGTCATAATGGCACTTCCAAGAAAACCTCGTGTTCTTAAGTTGGAAACAAAATTTTAAATTCATAAATTTAGCAGAACTTCAACCCTGCACACTACTTTCAGTCATGCAGACTTCAGTAAGGAACCCAGATCTTAGACCAGACGACATTGATAAATTACAGTTGCTCATGAAGTAGGAATGGTCTTGTTGCACAGACTCTGCGGTGTAATCTGAATTTTTAAAAATACTGAAAGATCTTACAGAAATAATTTTCCAGAATTAGAGAAAGAGACTTTTTTTAGAGCTGCATGAGATCAAAATAGTCAAGTGGTTGGTGAGAATTGATTGAAGGAATAGCCTTTACAGGAGGATAAATGAAAAAAGAGAAAAGAACTCCATTATCGGAGAAGAGACTGCACACAGAAGCTGAGGGACATCCTTCAGTGTTCAGGAAAAACATTCTGCAAAACTGAAACAGCTGTATTCATCCTTACACCATAGCTTGAATGGCAAGTTATGATTGTCAAAAATCTAATGTGCCTCTTTCTATATCAGATCAGTTAAAAACCTTGAATGCTTAATACTTTCACTGTTTAAGTTGTTTGTATTTCAAATTGTAATAAACCTGTGTTGTTTATTTAATGTCCAGAATCTGTTTCTCTGGTCTTTAAACTCACAAACTGCATTTGTCCCAGCATGTGACTGTACAGTGCTGTGACTGTAGTTTCACTGGTGACTTGAAGTGTATAGGATGCTGTTTGTTCAATGTATTTTTACATGGTTGGTTTTCTGTGAATGCCTGCATGTCACATTTTCTATCAGTGTAACTTTTTTCAATCATTGTCCTGCAGTTAGTATTGGAAATGTGAAATGTAGCCCTAGTGAGTATCTATAAAGTGTGTATGGTTTTAAACAAAACATGAGCAATGCATGGAATGTTTACAAGGTCATGTACTATTTGCCTTCAGTGCTCTAGTATTCAAATATTCCATTAGAGATAACACAGATGAACAATAGTGCTATCCTACCCATAATTTACCATAGTTATTCAATACTGACTCCAAATTAAAGAACAGAGTCACAGTCTACATGTGAAACTGAGGTGCTGAAGACAGCATAGATATTTTGATGAGATGATGCACAGTGAGAAGAGATCTGACAAAAATAAAGAAATTCCTGTAGGTCATATAAGGGTAGACAATGAATTCATTGAATTCACTAAACATTTATTGGGAAGCTCAGTGAAGGAGAATAAACACACAAACAGAAAAAAACCAAACGTTTTGGACTGAGCCTTTATCACAGACACAGCAAGAAAAGTAATCCTTACAATGGATTGATGTGAATAGTGAAGTGACGTGAATAAATGTTGAATGTTGAATTGACATCACAGCATTCAGGAAACTCCTTTAAGCGCTCCGTCCCCATCTTTAGCAGCAAGCGAAGAGTTTTAATTCCAATGGTACCAGTAACTGTCTGATTGTATATCCGCACTCTATCAGCAACTTATTCTTTCAATGACGGAGTATGGTTTGTGCCTGGTCACTTTATCCAACAGCCAATAGACAAGCTGGAACGCATGCAAAATGAAGCCATGAGAGTCATTCTTGGATTTAAAGGGACACACAAATTGTATACATGCAGCAGATACTTGCATTGTCGTCGGTATATGAAAGATACAAGGTGTTACAGGCAACAGGGTACCTTAAGGTTGCAAAGGACAGGCAACACCTTCTACATAAGACCTAAAGGGGCATTGACTGAAAGAGGTATCTCCTGGATGGCACAGGAAGAAGTCACGATCAGAACTGTTTGTGCTACTGACAAGATAGCGCAGGGTGAGGAATGGGTTACAGTGTCACCCAGCAAAACAGATTTGCACAAAGTGATAGTTTACCTTGGACTAAGGGTACCGGGAGTGGATAGCTATTGAAATAGAGGCACTGGAACTGATGATAGAAAATTCAAACCCTGGAGACATAGTTATATACACAGATGGATCAGTAGTGAGAGGTAAAAAGAGTGGCTGGGGTTTTATTGCAAATTTTGATGGACACTGAAAATAGCCTTACGTATATCCTCACAACGTCCATTATGAGAATGGAGGTTGAGGCAATAATGGTTGCTTTCCAATAACTTGAGAGCAGCACAGCCTAACAAGTGGTCATTGTAATGGACTCACAGAACATGCATCCATACATTAATAGACTTATTCAGCGAGGGTTGAGCAGGGTGTCCTGGAAGATATCCAACACTGCAGGGAAAACACAGGTGGACTTTTATTTAGGTTGCAACAGATACTATTAGCATATCGACTCTGCTATGGCTACTGAAGAAGGAGACAGAGCACATGTGGGAATGACTCAAGTGCAGGGATGTCAATTCATAATTTATTCATTCAAACCTAACTTTTTTTGTTAAATCAAATTTTAACTGACTTTAATTTTTTTTTCTGTTATTTTTATTTTTAATTCATTCTACTCAATGAACATGGCTTCATTCTATTTCTTAGGTGAAATCATTTTTAGTTTGTTTGAAGTGTGTGATTATACTCAGACATTCATCATACCAATGACATCTATTTTCCTTGATGTATTTGATCTTGTATTTCTTGAATTGTCTACAGTATTTTAGATTGACACATGTTTATTTGCTTGTTTCTGTTGGCAGCTTCTGTGACATCACTCACAGCTGGTGCTGTCAACAAAAAGTCTCCAGTAACAGGCAGAAAGAGCCAGCCTAACACTCCTTCAGCCCTGCAGTCACCAGTAGCAGCAGTTTCTTCTTCGAGGTTAGTTCAGGCAATAGTGTTTCTACAGTGCCATTATAGTCATACAGTCGCCCAGCTTTTGAGTTGAGTGCATGGTGTGACACTGTGAGCTACATGTGTTTTTCATTGGCACAGGAGCGGAGCAACTATGGGGTGACCCGTTTGCTTTGAAGCTGAAACTAGGATTACCAGATTACCAGATTATAGTGCCATTATAAAGTATGGTGCACAGTTTGCATGGGCTGTTTTCTTTGGGTTTTCTTGACCTTTCTTAATTATGTTTGATGTCAGTGTGAAGAAAAATACAGTTGAAAGATAGTTTAAACATCACATGACTAGGATATCTCTGCTAATATGGCTCAGTACTTAAGAATACACTATCCAGAAAAATCCCATGGATCTGAAGCAATAAACAATATAATAATAATAATTTAATAAAAACCTATTTCTTTAGGTAAGAAACTAGAAAGCAGGTATAATCGCCCAGACAAGTATTGTGGAAGACTACAGAATGTATCACTTTTAGGATACACCCCACCAGTATTTAAACCCACATGAATAAAATACTATAAAAAAATTCATTTAGGCCTAGGTGGTAACAAAAATTTAGTTGTGTATCCTTTATAGGACAATGGAGAAACAATATTTGTTAGCTGTTGTGGTTTTTCTAGGCAAATTTGTATTCAGTGGTTTACCATTGCTTTCTGCAAATTGGGCTATTGATACCACTGTTGAAACCAACACAAAGTGGTCTGCTGCCATTTCAGCAGCTGGGATCGAAACCCGGCACCTTGGCATTACAAAGTAGAAAGTAGAAAGGAACAGGTGTTAAAAGTAAAAATATTCCAATTCATTGTTTACCATATACAGTACTATTTATTTCACAAAATCCAAATGGTGTTATATTCAGTAGGTTGGTTAGTTTTTGAAATAATATATCAATGTAACTGATATCCTGCCTGAAATAAGAAATAAAGAATCTTTGTGTATCCATGAAAAAGGTAGAAATCCAAAGAAAATCATGTTACTCTCAGATCTGACAATTATTCCTCATTTAAGTCTCACAAATTTTATATCGGTTATCTACAGATGGAAAAACGTATTATCTATATTCTTTGAATGAACGTATATTAACTCTTTTAGAGTCCCAGAGAGTTAAGCATCACAGGCCCAAGAGGTAGTTAAAATAGACATAAAATCAGCGCATCATGCGCTCATTGGGCTTCTAGGCAGGAATCTATGAACGTCTTATGCATACTTTGGACTCAGTTAACTTTTAATACATCTAAATTATTATAATTTCAGATCCACATTGCTGTAAGTAATTTCTAAGTTATCAGTAATGTTCAAACATAATATTATTTCCAGTTTTTTAATACTTACTTTATGAATTCTTTTCATAATCATGTTTAGTCATTCAGTTTTACATAATAATTATTTGTTTAGTTAACCCTTTCACCCTGGGAACACTATAAACAAAATAGGTTATGACCCCATTAGAATTCCGGAAACAATCGATAAAAACACAATAATTTTATACATCACTTATAAATTTGTAAAAAAGTAAAACGAATATTTCTCCACATTGTAGTTATCTAAATATGTATTTATATAGATATATATGTGTGTGTGTGTGTATATATATATATAAATACACACACATAAATTTTTGAAATATATAAAGATGTATGAAAGGAATTGTTCAACAAACATGAACAGAGTGAAGCATTAAACGGTATATATATCCCAGGGCCTACAAAAACAAATGTACCAGGCGACTCATGCTTTGACCCCCATGACCTCTATCAATGAGATTTATGGAGAAACTTTGAAGGCAGCTTGGCTTTAAAAAAAGCCGTTTAACTGAAAATACCCTCTCCCCGCTCCCCACTTTCTTAGTTAATATATTCTCCGATCCGCAGGCGAGTAGCCGCTAAGCTCTTTAATGTCATCAATCCATAGTCTCCTAGGGTGGACTCTTGCTTTTTACTTCAAATCTTTTTGTGTGTAGCCCCAAAGTGGATAGTTGTTCTGGCTGCATTCTTAATAAGTGACCACACCATTTGTTTTGTTTCGTTTCTCAAGGAATTTGCTGCATGGTGTTGTTCCTACAGTCTGTCTGATCAAATCATTTCTAACTTGGATGGTTAAGTTGGCAGCTTTTCTTAGGCATCACATTTTCACAGGTGTTAATTTTATGTGGGTTAGCTTTTGATAATTTCAAGTCTGGATCTGGTAGCAAAGTGGTTGCTATTTATAATCTGTTTCTTGGTGCTCATACTTATGATTAAATAACTTAATAATGGTGTCAGTTGGTATATAAGTGAGTGGCTTGTTGGTGTCTAATTTCTATACTGTTTAGTAAAGTAAGTAAAAATCCCTTTTTATGCATTTAGGCTCATCGGGCAAATGGAAAGAGCACCCATATTTTTATAGACCAGTCAGCACTAGGTGGGTAATGGGGTCAGCGTTACGCCTGCCGTCTTTACATCCCCAGGACATATATCCTAGTACCCACCCATTTTAGGCTGGGTCGACCCGCCACGCCCCGTACCATGATAAAAATTCACACAGCCAGCAGTGGGTTTCGATCGCGGTACATTGGAATTATGAGTCAGACTCACAGTGTAAGCCAAGGACGCCGCTAGGTTTAATTTGGTTTTGACTTCCACAGCTTCTCTTGCTCTTGGACTTTGATTTCTTATTTGTATATATCTCTCTTTCTGTCTCCCCAACATTTCAACATTACATTCTAGATATATGTTTGACTCTTCATCTTGAAACAGGGTTTCACCAAGACAAGGTTATTTACTCTTTTTATTCTCATCTTTACTTCCCGTATACATTTTTTGTCAAAATTGTTACTTGCTATCTAGTATTTTTTGTTTTTCTTTTCTGATTCATTAAGACAAGGGGTCATTGTTGCCATTGAGCTGCTCGTTTTTTTTTTTTTTTTTAACTCTTCTTAATCTAGTTGATAGTAAGAAAAATAGAAGTGGCAAAACTGACTTGTCGCTTGCCTGTTCTTATTTCAAAAGTATTTGTTAAAATTATCACATGAGCTACTCAGCATTTCATGTCTTTGTATGTTGCTATTATTAAGTTTGTGGTTTTCTATGGAATCTCCTAGTGCTTTATCAGTTTCTAAGATTTCCTACAATTATAAATTAGTTCATTTTATAGTTGTGCAGACATGTCTGCTGCTGTATTGGCCACATCCGTATTCAGTATCAGTTGGTCTACAGTTATGGGCAATAAGCCTCATTACCTTAAAAAAAAAAAAGGGAACCTTTGCTTGTTAATATTTTAAATAAACACACAAAAACACACATAAAATTTATATAAAAATATATCACACACAAACGTACCTATAATAAATAAAACAGTAATGAACATCTGTTGCAACCATGGCGATATTGAGATTGTGGTGCTCGCTTCATCTTTTGTCCAGACCAGCTGGCATTTGTTGGACACTGGTCAGTATCAAGCTGGTTGCCTTTACTTCCCAGTTTCCTGGTGCTCAGTTTAGGTTGATCCATTCTGGGAGCCCAGGCCGATGAAAAAAAAAACTCCCTGGCTTAAAGATATTTAGTATGTGATAGCAAGAATAAGTGTACATGTGTGTTTGTGAGAGATGATTGTATATTGGTGCCTTGTGTGTATATTTGTGAGAGGCAGAGACTGTGTAAAAGTGAAGGTAAAGTCGGGAGATGTGAACCAGGGTCACTGCACACGGTTATAAACCATAAGTGCTCTGCCACCAGTACGGACAGCTCAGAGTCAACAATGGTACCCATTTTCTAGAGGCTGGGTTAACCCCGGGAACCGCCCGGTTTCAAACACTGACTGTGGGCTGCAGTGAGTCGCAGCTTGATTTGAAAGCGAGCCTCTTATCGACTGCGCTAATGCGGCCCCTAAAACTGTGTATACGTCTATATTTATGCATCACTGATTAGTGCAGATTTCACCGTGATTCTAAAAATCTTGTGTTGCAATGTCTGATCTTGGTGTATGAGTAGGCATCATGTTTATACTGCAATACCAAAAGTTGTTTATTGCCTTCTAAACAGAAGAGGCTCAATGAGTAATCTAAGTACAAGTGCAGCAAAGCAAGGGTCTACAAGTGGAGCCACCAGTGGTAAGTGTCTTTATGTCAGTCTGCGGTACTGGATGGTTTGACATAATTGTATTAGAGGTGGAGAAAAATGTGAAATGTAGGTCTTCATATGTCATCTATATATAAAAAAATCAATGTTTGTGTGTTTGTTTATCCCCTTTAGACTCGAAAACTACTGAACCGATTTAGCTGAAATTTTCAGGATATGTTTGTTTTGATACCGGATGTTGAACCATCATGGTTTGAAATTCAACCTGTCATTGTTAGAGATAGTTTGCAACAATTTATGCCATAATATTCGAAACTAATATTTATGATTTTAGTGATTTCTAATTATAGCCACGTTAGTAATTGCGCACGCGCCATAGTCAGAACGCAAGGCTTCCACCATTCGCCGACGAGTTACTTGCAGCCAACGCCTTCTCTAATACATAGAGTAGGTCGTGGTACAGCAAACAAGACTATCTTTATATTTGCCACAATAACCATATTAAACATGATTTCTATTTTCTGTTTTTTTTTTCAAACAACCTTCGATGGGGGGGGGGGGGGGGGGGGGGGGGGGGCCATCAAGGACTATCTCGACGTCGGCGCAGACATTGACTGAGAGAGTTTAAGTCACAGTAACTGCTTTACCCACTTAAAGTAGCAGCAGCAGTATAGTTGTGGTTGGGCTGTTACACCATAGTGCTCTCATGTGAAGACCGCCGGTAAGGTTATGGCGTTCTTCTGTCGGCAAGTGAAATTATACATCCTAACCTGACCAGTCTGTGGCGACAGCACTAGCCATGCGGAACCAAATCTTCTGGCTCACGACTCTCTGTCTACTCCGATGGTAACACAGATAGCAGTGACATAATTTTAGCTACTGTGGTGGTATTCGTGGTAGTAGTTGTACTGGGATTTGAAGGATGATGTGGTAAATATTACACTAGCCCCATTCACTACCTATTAAAATTCCTGCTCCCCATTTTAGTCCGGATGGACAGGGATGTCAATGTCAGTTACAGCAACAATAAAATATCGCCAGGTAATGATTTTCAAATCCTTCGGAGAGGGAGAAAGCAGTAGTCGGTGGAAGAGGGGAGGGGGTAATGACTTAAATTTAAGAGAACTTAAAGAGCTTTACACGGGATTTTCAAGTTCTCATTACCTAATTTGTTTATATTTTACTAACGCTACCTCCGCTTTTCTATTTTTTACGACTTTCTTTGTTATTCACAAGTACAGTTGTAGCTTTACTTCCGTCCCCTATAAAATACAAAACAGCTTTAGCATGTGATAACCAAATAACCATTTTTGTTACTGTGCTAATAGCACCATTTAAATGACCACTAATATAAAGACACAATTATAAAGTGCAAGTTCTAAAGTTGGAAAACCAGACTCTCTATATCTGTGCAGAAAATGATTGCGACATTAATTATATTAGACGTGCGATTTTCATTGTCTTTTTTTCCAATAACCTTTGATGAGGGAGAGAGTAGTAGGTGGATTTAGTTGTGGTGGTGGGGGGGGGGGGGGGGGGGGGGGGGGGGGGGGGCGGGGATCAAAGACTATCTCTATATCTGAGCAGACAATGATTGTATTAGACACGTGCGATTTCTATTTTCTTTCATTTTCATTTAGCCAAATTATGTCACAGCAACGCGTGGCCGGGTACAGCTAGTGTGTATATATATATATATATATATATATATATATATATATATATATATAATGTCATGCGCACCTCATATTATAAATAACCTGTGCATGACTTTGTTTCCTGATAGTTTGAATCTCTGTGTGTGGTCAGATGCTAACTATATTGTACTGTGCAGACTAGCACGGAAATAACACAAAAACGTGTTCATAGTCTGTCTGCACAGTACAATACCTCCATCAGAACATACCGGGTAGATCTCACCTATGCTATTGTGTGCAGCACACCCTATACCCTACCTGTATTTATTTTTTCCCACCTTTATGTATCCCTATGTTTGTTTAAGTCTGTTATAGTCAATTTACCATACGAGTTAATTGGTACATTATTATATTGTGTTGCACAACTTTAAAGGAACAGTTGACTGACATGTTTGTTCCCACTCTGGGCTGCTGTCTAAAAGTTGACACCCTTGCGATGCAGTCATATTCTGGATGCCTACTAACAGGTCAAATCCCAGTTACCCTGTTCAACCTTCTAAGAAGTTACCTTATGGTCTATAAAATATAACAATGTACCATTAATTATCTGTTCATAGTCCGGAATTGAGGTTGGTGGGCACAATATGAACAATTAACTCTTGATAGCAACAAGTCAGAAAGAACTACAGGAAATTATAGACATTGTGGTGTTAGAAAAAAGAAGAATGGGTCTCAGTTTAAATAATGGGAAGACAGAAGTAATGGTGGTATCAAAGAAAAGAATTATTCCTTAATGTGTAATAAGTCAGTGGTGTTATTTTTGCAAAAGTACAGAAATCTAAGTATCTGGGCACATCGATAACATCAGATGAAAGATGCATAACTGAAATCAGAAACAGAATAGGACAGGCAAAAACTGTATTTTATAAAATGAAGAACATCTTGTGCAATATATCCTTGTCATTGAAAGTTAGAAAAAGAATTTTTGCTTGCTACATACATCCAGTTTTAACATATGGCTGTGAATCCAAACAATTTCTTGAGGCCTTAGAGATGTTGTTTTACAGAAGAATGCTTAAAATAGGAGACAGTCATGATTTTTTGGCTATGTTATGAGAAGAGGGAAAATTGAACATTTTGTGACCACTGGAAAGATCTGTGGAAGGTGGGATAGAGGAAGACAGTGAGAGAAGAATCTTGACAGTCTTGTTGCATGGCATGGAGGTGTGTCGGCACATGAACTGATACATGCTGCAGGAGATCGTAATTGTGGAGAGGCATGATCACCCACGCCAGTCTGCAAGGCACCTAATGTTGATGAGTCTACAATGTATAACAATGTACCAATTGTCTGCTCATAGTCTGCAATGTAGCAAGTATCTGTTCATAGTCTGCACAGTATAACAGTGTACCAATTGTCTGTTCATAGTCTTTACAATATAACAGTGTACCAGTTGTCTGTTCATAGTCTTTACAATATAACAGTGTTCCAATTGTCTGTTCATAGTCTTTACAATATAACAGTGTACCAATTGTCTGTTCATAGTCTTTAAAATATAACAGTGTACCAATTGTCTGTTCATATTCTTTACAATATAACAATGTACCAGTTGCCTGTTCATAGTCTACACAATATTAATGTGTACCAGTTGTCTGTTCATAGTCTACACAATATAAATGTGTACCAGTTGTCTGTTTGTAGTATACACAATATATCAGTGTACCATTTGTCTGATCATAGTCAAAACAGTATAACAGTGTACCAATTGTCTGTTCATAGTCTACACAATATAACTGTGTACCAGTTGTCTGTTCATAGCCTACACAATATAATAGTGTACCAATTGTCTGTTCATAGTCTACACAATATAACAGTGTACCAGTTGTCTGTTCATAGTCTACACAATATAACTTTGTACCAATTGTCTGTTCATAGTCTACACAGTATAACAGTGTACCAGTTGTCTGTTCATAGTCTACACAATATGATTGTGTACCAGTTGTCTGTTCAAAGTCTACACAATATAACAGTGTACCAGTTGTCTGCTCATAGTCTACACAATATAACAGTGTACCAATTGTCTGTTCATAGTCGAAACAGTATAACAGTGTACCAATTGTCTGTTCATAGTCTACACAATATAACTGTGTACCAGTTGTCTGTTCATAGTCTACACAGTATAACAGTGTACCAGTTGTCTTTTCATAGACTACACAGTATAACAGTGTACCAGTTGTCTGTTCATAGTCTACACAATATAACTGTGTACCAGTTGTCTGTTCATAGTCTAAACAATATAACAGTGTACCAGTTGTCTGTACATAGTCTAAACAATATAACAGTGTACCAGTTGTCTGTTCATAGACTACACAGTATAACAGTGTACCAGTTGTCTGTTCATAGTCTACACAGTATAACAGTATACCAGTTGTCTGTTCATAGTCTGCACAATATAACAGTGTACCAGTTGTCTTTTCATAGACTACACAGTATAACAGTGTACCAGTTGTCTGTTCATAGTCTACACAATATAACAGTGTACAGATTGTCTGTTCATAGTCTAAACAATATAGGAGTGTACCAGTTGTCTGTTCATAGTCTGCACAATATAACAGTGTACCGATTGTCTGTTCATAGTCGAAACAGTATAACAGTGTACCAATTGTCTGTTCATAGTCTACACAATATAACAGTTCATAGTCTACACAATATAACAGTGTACCAATTGTCTGTTCATAGTCTACACAATTATAACTGTGTACTAGTTGTCTGTTCATAGTCTACGCAATATAACAGTGTACCACTTGTCTGTTCATAGTCTACACAATATAACAGTGTACCAATTGTCTGTTCATAGTCTACACAATTATAACTGTGTACTAGTTGTCTGTTCATAGTCTACACAATATAACAGTGTACCACTTGTCTGTTCATAGTCGAAGCAGTATAACAGTGTACCAATTGTCTGTTCATAGTCTACACAATATAACAGTGTACCAGTTGTCTGTTCATAGCCTGCTGTTTGTTGTTAATTCAAGTCCTTTTGTTCTTAAATCTGGTCCATGCTGTATGGTGATGGTAATGATATTGGTTTACTTGTTCTTAAATCTGGTCCATGCTGTATGGTGATGGTAATGATATTGGTTTACTTGTTTTTAAATCTGGTCCATGCTGTATGGTGATGGTAATGATATTGGTTCACTTGTTCTTAAAGCTGGTCCATGCTGTATGGTGATGGTAATGATATTGGTTCACTTGTTCTTAAATCTGGTCCATGCTGTATGGTGATGGTAATGATATTGGTTCACTTGTTCTTAAATCTGGTCCATGCTGTATGGTGATGGTAATGATATTGGTTCACTTGTTCTTAAATCTGGTCCATGCTGTATGGTGATGGTAATGATATTGGTTCACAGCCTACTGTTTTATGCACTACCAGTAATTTCTGATACAGATTTTCATTTTTTTTACCATGATACACAGTCTAACATCTTTCTGGATCTGCCATTCTCTCTCTTCCCTTTATAGAACCTCATTCTGCTGCAGACAGTTACTATGTTAACCCCTTTTTACCTAGATATAGAACAAGTGAAGACAAGATGTAGTAAAGATATTAATCAATGAACACATGTGGAATGTCTAATAGAAAATGAGTTACATTTAATTTATGAGATCCTTCATTTTCAACTTGACAGGAGCAGCCTGCTCACTATTATTTGGCAATTTCGGTAATTAGTGGTTGAGAGTTTCATTGGTTTTTCTTTATTTTGTGCATGCGTGCCCATAGTTCATCTCTGCTGAGACACATGATAGTGTTGTCTTTGCTGCAGTAGCCTTATGGTGATGTAAGTTCTATGTTGTTGTTACAAGGACAAAAATAAAAATCGTGACCTGCATAATTTGTGTTGACTGCACTAGTCATTATACAATGGTTTATAATATATTATGTCCTACCACTTCATACTCCAGCAGAAGTATCTACCAAAGATAAATATGTCCCTTTACATTTTTTATGTTTTAGAAACAGTGAAGGTGAAAACAATAACACCAACAAAAACCGGCAGTCCAGCAGTGGGGACATCCACAAGGTGATTATCAGTTTGTTTGTTTGAAAATGTTGAATACATCTCTACTATTAATAATCAGAGGTAAAGCTTTCAGCTACAACTTCCAGTGGCTGGTTGGATCTTAACTCTTTGAGTCCCAGGGGGTTTAGAATCAGAGGCCCCAGGGGTGGTGGTAATATGATTTGTTAAATTTCACAAGTGTAACACATTAAAAGATACAATACGAATTTAGCTGCCGTGCAACATACACATATTATATATATATATATATTTGCATAATATACATCAAAGAGACCAGGGATTGTTGGGAAATAATAATAGAGTACTGCTACAACAAATAATTGTATTCATAGTTAGATATTAGTAAATAAACAGAGACGGTATGCAAGAAAAACTCCTTAAAATATATCCAGAATCAATCACAAATGAACATGAACCACTTAGTAATGTATAACTAAAATATAAACTCAATATGTACATTAGATCTTGTTCCAGAGAATCTTTTGAAGATTCATTAACAGCGCACCATTATTTTGTAAAGAGAACTGACTTTCCAAAAATAGTATCTTTAAACAAAACAAAGTATACAACATTGTTTGCCTGTAATTTTGTAGCTATGATTCTAAATAATAAGGGGAATAGCACTAGAACTAATTGACACTGAAGAAAATCATATTTTCTCTATTATTCTATTTGTGCCAGCTGACTTTGCTGTCGTTGTACCCGTTACAGTTTTTGTACCCTTTGCGTGAGGTACACATTAGAGCTATCCCTCATAAATGTTTGACTCTATAAATGACTGAAACAAATTTACTTCACAACATTATCTAACTTTAGATAAATCCAACAAACATGTGCTGAGACAGCTGACTTGTGATGCTAAGTGTAGTCCCCAGATACTCAGATACAGCCTGAAATTGGCTCATGAAAGAAAATAAGCCAACTTTCCTTAGATGCCTAGAAAACACTTAATAACTGAAAAGCTAGACAGAGTAGATTATCCCTCCCCACAACATCCCTTTCTTGTCATTAAATTATGCCCCCATCTAGAAGAAGTATATTGATGGACAGCACTAAACTAAACGGTGCACATATCTAGAAATACATGTAAACTTTTAACTAAGAATCTAAATCAATCATAGATATGTTTATTAAAATAATCAGTTCTAGTTATGCCTAGTGGCATATGAGGCTTTAGAGAGGACTTTCCATGCTTTCCTATCCTGTGCAATCTTCAATGCAGTTTTTCATGTCAAAGATGCCACACTCAGGTCACTTTCCATCGTTCGTCTCCATGTTGTTTTTGGGTGCCCCTGTTTTCTCTTTCCCTCTGGTGTCCATGTGAGAGCTGTTTTGGCAGATATATCAGGATTCATTCTCTTAACGTGGCCAAGCCATTTCCATCTTCTCTTGCTTATCATACAGTCTAGAGTTTCTTGGTTTGTAACTTGAAGCAGTTTAGTGTTTGAGATTGTATCTGGCCAGAAAATTTTGATAATTCTATGTAGACATATGTGGTGGAAGGTGGACAGCTTGTGTACATCCTTTTTGGTTATTCTCCAGCATTCCACTCCATAAAGAAGAACTGGCAAAATGATGCTCTTGTAGAGTCATAAAAAGAGTTTTGTTCCTCTGCAGTAATTGTTGGATTTCCAGATTTGCCTCATCCTTCCAAAAGCAGCTCTAGCTTTGTTCAAGCATGACTATATGTCTTCCTCTGTCCCTCCCAGTAGGGACACCACACTGCCAAGATATGTGAAATGTTCAACATTTTCAAGTGATTGGTTACTTATGGTCACTGGTTGTTGGTTTGGACTGTTTGTCATGATCTTAGTTTTCTTTGTATTTATTCTCAGTCCCACCATTTCTGCTGTGCCATGTAGTCTTACTTTTCTCTTGTATATGTTCATGTTTATGTGATAGCAGTGCTAAATCATCTGCAAAATCAAGGTCCTCAAGCATGGTGAATGGAGTCCACCGTATGCCTTTCAATGTCTTGTCTACTGTGTTTTTTAGTATCCAATCAATCACAAGGTTGAAAAGGAGAGTTGACATGACACATCATTTCTGACACTTTTTTTTACCATTATACCGCTATATTCTAACATCAATTTGTCTTTCTGACGTTCTGATTTAGTGTGTTTATTAAAATAAAGTCAATATCAATCATCTATTTACTTTTAAAATACAATCATTAAACTAAATAGATGATATAATCAAAGAAAAAATAATTGTCAAATGAAACTGTCGCCATGAGAGAGTTAATGAGAATTTTTCTAGAACACACAACAATTGGTTTCCCAGAGGATCTTCACCCGACTTTGATGTGGAACGTTGGAGCTGCACAAAGACTTTTCACAGGGCACCTCAGTCCTTACCTCTGACCAATCTGGTAGCATTCTGGAAATACATCCTATGGCTTGATATTCAAAAGTTCACACACGTATGCAGATGAATATGCTTAAAAAAATCTGAACTGGATTTATCAGGCAAGAATGGATTGCAACACTAAGCACTTCACGATAGCTGCTCTAACCTTCATCTTTGTGTACGCGGGTGTTCAAGGCAACGAGTGTGCAGACTATCTTGCTGACACTGCTGTTGCTATGGCTGGTCCAGTACTGGACAGAAGTGATGTTATCAATGCCATGCGCTACACTTAGGTACTGAGGAGCACGCCAAAGGACATGACTCCATATCCCTGTCTAGACTGATGGACATGGGGGTGCAGCCTAGAGTTGCAAGAAATGAATAAAATAATAAACCCAGCATATTTTTGTGCATTAAACTAAGCCATTAATTCAGAAAACTGACAGACTGTGTAGCACATTTCACAGAAGGTTTAAATGGGAAAACCAAGTCACGAAACTTGAAGTGAATCACAGGCATCAGGGGTGCATGTTTGTTTTGATTGTTAGACAGTCAGGTGCCATCTCCACAATGAAGGTTGACCGTAGGGGATCATCATCATCATCAGGCGCCTTGCCGACTGGCGTGGGTGATCATGCCTCTCCATAATCCTGCAGCATGTATCAGTTCTTGTGCCGACACCCCTCCATGCCATGCAACAAGACTGTAAAGCATCTTCTCTCGTTGTCTTCCTCTATCCCTCTTTCCACAGATCTTTCCAGTGGTCACAATATATTCGGGCTCCCACCTCTTTCAAAACCTCTTGGTTGTGAGTGAATCATATAATGCATAATGGTTGTTTATGAAGGATTTGAGTGTATTATGTATGTGTATGTATTCTGTCTGATGTTTCAAAATGCCATATTTGAGAGTAACAGATTCCAACTGTTTGTTATAGATTACCAAAGAAACCAGGAAAGTAGAAATAACCAAAGAGATAGCAGCTTTATTCACTTTACCTGTGAGCTGTTGTTGACTGCTTAGCTCAAGACAATACGGCAGCGGCTGTCAGGTTCATTGTTGGCCAGTTTTCAGGAAACGAGATCTGTGAGAAGCAGCTCCAGCATTTGATTCTTCATTTGAGAACAGTTTTGGACTGCTGTTGTGGAATCTGAGACTGATGTTTAAGTAAACCTGTGCTGTGTTTGTTAAATACATTTAAAGAGCTTAACAAATAGCTTGGTGGTCAGGATTTGAATCTTTATCATTGCAGGAATTTTTGTAAATTGACCTGAGCTTCCAGGTCAACCCAGACTAAAACAGGGACCAGAATATCCTGGTCAGAAAAGATGGTGAGAGTGACCACATTAATTCAACAAGTTCCACTTGGTTTCTATGAATATGGAGTTAGCAACCATCACCCAGTTGCATGAAATGGGATCCTTTTCCCGTTAATATCAAATACAGAAAATATTGATTCTTGTGTTTTAAGTCTGCATGAAGTATTCTGATGTGGTTTAAGACAGAAAGTTGACACCAGTCAATGTAAGCAGGACTGTATCAGGAAGATATGACCTAATTGTACAGGTAAACAGGCATAGGGAAGGTACCTAGTGTGCCACTTGTGCTTCATGTTTACAGATATTATATTTTTTCTTCACAAATGATGACACAGATTGCTGCTTATTTGTTGATTTCATCCTGTTCTATTTCATCCTAGTTTGGAATTTATGTGTGTTATTTTGGCTGTGTAATTTGAACATAAAATAAATTTGTTGATTGATTGGTACTTAATAATTAAGTTATTCAGTTGAAAATGAATTTTTTTTTAGTTTACTGAGGTTTGAACAAAAAGTAGCCAATATCACATTCTGGCATTTTGAAAAAAAAAAAAAAAAAGTTATTTGCAAGAACACTTCCCATATTATTACTATGGCATTTAAACTCTTCTATTTAACATACTCGAGTTAGTAATCCCATGCATCGCCATCTTAACAGTATTGCAGGCAAAGCATAGTTCCATGCCATGCCTCCATAGGAGTTAACATGTAAATTGCTTAAACAGACATTTTTGTCACCAGTAACAATTGTTAACGTTTTTATTTTTTTGTTGTTGAAAATGATATAAATCAAAAAAAGACAAATATTAAATGTTTGGACTATATATAATGAGCATTCACATTTAGTTGGTTGGTAAATCACACTGGCAGAGATACCACACGTGCACACTATTTTATTGTTAGGAATGATTTACTATCAGTCAAGTTTTTAATGTAAACATTTGGTAGATTTGAATTTTGAGGCAGATTGTACAGTTGGTGAAATTCTGGTCTGTGTGTAGATTACCATGGAAGGCCTTATGCTTTTGGTGTACCTTGGGCAACTGCCTAATGTTCCCAACAATAGGCCCTTCTGAAGGAGAATATTCTGCTGAACACAGAGTTTTGTTTATCCAGGATTCAGCTGCTTAGCACAGATTCTTAATTGACTTGCAGTTTGTAAAACACCATGAATGGTTTTCTTTCTCTCAGAGCTGTAGTTCTCAAATAGCTTTGTGACTGGCATAAACAAATATATCATGATTCGTGATAAATATACTTTATGGAGTCGCAGCAACACAATTGTAAAATACCTGCAGTGGCAACATGCCTGCAGTGGCAACATGCCTTTTTCCTCAGCATAATATTAATAAATAACTAATAGTCTGAGGATAAACACACTTATGAATGGATGCAGTAAAAAATGTTCTAGATGTAGATGATGTAGGGCTAAGAGTTGCCTTGCAATTTTCAGACACCATCTGTCATTTCTTTTGCAATTCTTAAATGCAGTTGTTTATCCAGTTATTTTATGTGTGGTGAATTTTTTATTTTTTTTTTATTTTTATTTTGTAAAACTCTAGAAATAGTAACAGTTCAGTAACAGTCCTCTTTAACTATTGTGAAACTGTCAGTAAAAGTACTGTAAATTGTTAACACGTTTTTGGCAGTATTTTGGTACACTTAATCTGTCTAGATTAAAAAATATACTAAATAAAATGGCTGCACTTCGCCAATCAGTTGACTCGCTGAAGTTTATTTACTGATTAATAATATAACAAAATATAAAACAATTGGTTTATTTGTTAATTTTTAGTTGTGTGGTATTTATGCGCACCACTTTTGTGTATTTTGATTTATATTGAATCGTTAGTTTGTTGAGTTTTGAAAAATATGATTAATGGAAGTTAAACCATGTCGTTGTTTGTTTATTTTTGTTTTATTTGTTTGAAGCCGCATCAGGTTTAGTGTCTGTTTAGGATATTTGTATATTGAGCGGAACTCATCATGTAAAAATTGTATTTTGATTCTAGTGCATACCTCATCTGTTCTAAAGTAGAATGGACTGAGGTAATGTCACATCAGTTCATCAGTAGCTCCATTTATCTGTTTATGAAGTTAGCTTTCTGCATGTTAGTCAGATGATGTCATTATTCTGAGCTAGCTGGAGCATGAGGTACTGTGAAGGAGTAAGATTCATGTTTTGTTATTATGTTTGAGTTTAAGCTTAAAGACAATCCAGTCTGTTTTACCAGTAGGAAATGGTCTGTATAATTTAATGGTAAAACAGAACCAGTAATGTAGAACTTTAGGAGAGAGAAAAAAAAATTACATTCAAGAGATAAAGATAAAGAAGTAATATGAGTATGTCAAAACTTTTTGTATACACTCACAGCTAGACATTAGTTCGGTCATAATTAGTTGAGTATGTAAATTGTTTAGTTGTCAGCAAGAATTTTGTCACAGCTTCCCCTAGTCAGTAGTGACGACAGTTGCAAAATATCCAAGTAAAAAATGTAACTCACATTAATCAAAAAATTAAAAAACCAACCACAAAAACAGAATATTCCTTGGAATTGAAACATAATCTATTCTGAGACAGTGTTTGAATTTCAGATCTTTCAAGTCCCAAGAGTTTTTCCCATTGAAAATAATTGAAACTAAAGTAATCTGTACCAGAGTCTAACAAACTAAAATTTTAAAACATTCTTCTTAATACAGAACACTGTAAATATAGTAGCACATAATGATCACATTTGAATACTAACATAAATAAATTAAAAGATATATAAGCAAATTGTATTTACTATACCTTGATCAAAATGGTGACATAGCACATAGAAGTAGGAGGATGATAGAATGGGAGGGTAGAGAGATTGATTGGAAAGTGAGCCACCTCCTGTGATACTGGAGCACCTGCCAGGTATCCATTCCAATGCAGCGTTTCAGTTCTGAGGCAAAATGTACTGGCAAATTTTGTTCACATTCCAAGTTGTTTGCCTTTTGAGGCATTCAAATTCCAATATATCACTGTATATTTTTACTGTGGCAAAAAAAGACTAAAAGTTACATATGTTCCACTTAGCAACAGACAACAGAAATGTAAACAAAAGACAGAAGTGTAAAGAACAGACAAAAAAAGTGTAAACAACAGGGAGTAGAAGATTAACCAACAGGGAGTAGAAGATTAACCAACAGACAATAGAAGTGTAGTCAATAAACAGTAGATTGTAGCCAACAGACAGAAGTGAAAACAACATACATTAGAAGTGTTAAACAACAGACTAGAAGTGTAAACAACAGTAAAAGTGTAACCAATAAACAGTAGATTGTAGCCAACAGAAAGTAGAAGTGTAACCAGCAGACAGGCAGGAGTATAACCAACAGTCTAGCAAAAGTATAACCAACAGACAGCCAGGAGTGTAACCAACAGACAGGCAGGAGTATAACCAACAGACAGGCAGGAGTGTAACCAACAGACAGGCAGGAGTGTAACCAACAGACAGGCAGGAGTGTAACCAACAGACAGGCAGGAGTGTAACCAACAGGCAGGCAGGAGTGTAACCAACAGACAGGCAGGAGTGTAACCGTCTAGCAAAAGTATAACCAACAGACAGCCAGGAGTGTAACCAACAGACAGGCAGGAGTATAACCAACAGACAGGCAGGAGTGTAACCAACAAACAGGCAGGAGTGTAACCAACAAACAGGCAGGAGTGTAACCAACAGACAGGCAGGAGTGTAACCAACAGTCTAGCAAAAGTATAACCAACAGACAGGCAGGAGTATAACCAACAGACAGGCAGGAGTGTAACCAACAGTCTAGCAAAAGTATAACCAACAGTCTAGCAAAAGTATAACCAACAGTCTAGCAAAAGTATAACCAACAGTCTAGCAAAAGTATAACCAACAGACAGGCAGGAGTATAACCAACAGACAGGCAGGAGTGTAACCAGCAGACAGGCAGGAGTGTAACCGGCAGACAGGCAGGAGTGTAACCGGCAGACAGGCAGCAGTGTAACTGGCAGACAGGCAGCAGTGTAACTGGCAGACAGGCAGCAGTGTAACTGGCAGACTGGCAGCAGTGTAACTGGCAGACTGGCAGCAGTGTAACTGGCAGACTGGCAGCAGTGTAACTGGCAGACTGGCAGCAGTGTAACTGGCAGACTGGCAGCAGTGTAACTGGCAGACTGGCAGCAGTGTAACTGGCAGACTGGCACGAGTGTAACTGGCAGACTGGCACGAGTGTAACTGGCAGACTGGCACGAGTGTAACTGGCAGACTGGCACGAGTGTAACTGGCAGACTGGCACGAGTGTAACTGGCAGACTGGCACGAGTGTAACTGGCAGACTGGCAGGTGCGTAACTGGCAGACTGGCAGGTGCGTAACTGGCAGACTGGCAGGTGCGTAACCACCAGACTGGCAGGTGCGTAACCAACAGACTGGCAGGTGCGTAACCAACAGACTGGCAGGTGCGTAACCAACAGACTGGCAGGTGCGTAACCAACAGACTGGCAGGTGCGTAACCAACAGACTGGCAGGTGCGTAACCAACAGACTGGCAGGTGCGTAACCAACAGACTGGCAGGTGCGTAACCAACAGACTGGCAGGTGCGTAACCAACAGACTGGCAGGTGCGTAGCCAACAGACTGGCAGGTGCGTAG